TTTTTCGGTTCCAAGTCAAATATTTAGAACGGTGGCCCCCGTACCATCAATGCCCATACATATAAGCTACTCTTCCCTCCCGTTGTTCCTCGTGGACCTTGAACTCCTTCTCTCATTCCAGCCTTTTACCTGCCGTCTGTTTTGACCCGTATCGTTTCTTTCCTCTGGCTTATTGATCTCCTTCTTACCATCTCGATTCAAATCAATCCTCATCCATGGAGCCGGTGGAAAGGAAGCTAGAGATTGGCGCCCGTATCTATCCTAAGATGCCCCTCACGCAACAGCATCCTTCTGGAGAGCCACCCCGCTTGAAAGCTACACCGAAGGACGAACTCCACGATCTCCTCTGTGTGGGTTTTGGACCGGCTTCTCTGGCTATCGCAATTGCTCTTCACGATGCCTTGGATCCATGCTTGAACAAGGCCGCTTCCAATTCCAATTGGCAGCCCAAGGTCTGCTTCCTGGAGCGACAGAAACAATTCGCATGGCACTCGGGTATGCTGGTGCCCGGCTCAAAGATGCAGATTTCCTTCATCAAGGATCTGGCAACCATGCGGGATCCACGCAGCAGCTTTACTTTCCTCAACTATCTTCACCAGAAAGACCGCCTGATTCACTTCACCAACCTGAGCACCTTCCTCCCGGCTCGGATGGAGTTTGAAGATTATATGCGGTGGTGTGCGCAGAGATTCGCACATGTGGTGAACTACGGCGAAGAAGTTATCGAAGTGATCCCTGGCAAGACAAACCCGAGTAGCACGCTCGTAGACTTCTTCACGGTCAAATCTCGGAACCTAGAGACGGGCGAGATCTCTGCCAGGATGGCACGCAAAGTTGTTGTTGCTATTGGTGGTACTGCGAAGCTGCCCAAGGAGCTACCCCAGGACCCAAGGATTATGCACTCGTCCAAGTACTGTACTACTTTGCCCGCCATGCTAAAGGACAGCCAAGAGGCCTACAACATTGCTGTATTGGGCAGCGGTCAAAGTGCCGCAGAGATCTTCCACGACCTCCAAAAACGCTACCCGAACTCGAAGACGACGCTGATTATGCGAGACACTGCTATGCGACCCAGTGATGATTCACCATTGTAAGTGGATGCTTTGGTGCTCTCTACAACAACAGCAATGATAACTAATATGGAGAATATAGTGTCAACGAAGTCTTCAACCCCGAACGAGTCGATAAGTTCTTCGGCCTTTCCCCTGCCGAACGCCAGCGCTCCCTCACTGCTGACAAGGCAACCAACTATAGCGTCGTCCGACTTGAATTAATTGAGCAGATCTTCAATGACATGTACCTACAGAGGGTCCAAAATCCCGATGAGACACAATGGCAACATCGCGTCCTCCCTGGACGCAAGATCACCCGAGTTGAGCATTACGGACCGCATAGGCGGATGCGGCTTCATGTTCGGGCTGTGAAAGACGAGAAGGACAGCCTTGTTGGCAACGGCAAGGAAACATTGGAGGTGGACGCACTTATGGTGGCTACAGGCTACAACCGCAATGCGCACGAGCAACTACTGAAGAGCTTACAGCACTTGCGCCCCGCGGGCCAGGAAGCCTGGACCCCCAACAGGGAATACCGTGTTGAGATGGACCCAAGCAAGGTTAACGCTCAGGCTGGAATCTGGCTACAAGGTTGCAACGAGCAAACGCATGGACTGAGTGACAGTCTGTTGTCCATCTTAGCGTCACGCAGTGGCGAGATGGTGAACTCGATCTTTAGAGGCGAGTTTGCGGGAACAGCGGTGCCGGACACCACTATCCGCGCTATGCTGTAACGGGCGACTTAAAATAAGAACCTTACAAGGGTCTGTTAAGTCGAAGATCTTTTGGGTCCGCTTCATTTGCGCGTTTTGGGCGCTAAAGAAGAATGTTCCCTAACGAAAGGATGAGCCGAGGATCGACAGCAGGGACAAAATGAGAGTCAAAAAAAAAAAAAAGAAAAAAAGGGAACGCAAGAAAAGGAAACATACCAGAACAAAATCACACTGGTACATGATATTTTATTTGTTGGATACCTGTTCTACTATGCATAGACTATATTTTACACTATACTCATTTATATTCTTGTTTGACTATGTAGCTATGAATGATTTTGCAAGAAATACACAAAGGTCGAAGCAAAACGCAAGAGCATCAATTGACGAGTTCACCGCTCTCATGGCAACAAGATTGATCCCAACTCGAATTCTGCATGGGGATGCCTGAACAGTGGATTAGCCACAAAGCTACATCCTACCAGACCCGCTGGTGCCCGGCTTATTGGTCGCTGTGTGATATTCATTACAGCACAGAATACTAAAAAATGTCCGGAACTCGGCAGAGAGGATGACGAGAAGATACAAAAATTTACAGGATTATTAATATTTGAGAGGAAAAGTTTGTAGAAAGAGACCGTCCAGTTTATAAAATGAAAACAACAAACAGAAAAGAAGAATTCAAAAGGAAGAGAAGAAGGAGGGAAAGAGAAAAAAAAAAGAAAAAGTAAAGGACATCAATTGGTTGAAGTGGGCATTTTAATGATGACGCCAGATAATCTGATCAGATAAAAATTTTTCGTTATCAGATGGCGCCATTCCACAAATACGAATCAGTTCCATCACCTGGAAATTAATAAAGACCACTGACCACAACTGAGGCTGGCGCGCTCCGGCTCTTTTCTCCCACGTCTTATTTGGCTTCGGCCGATGCCAAGGAGCCACCCACCGGATAAGACGAGCCAGAGGAATTCGGACCCACTGATTGATTACGAGCGATGACTGAACCGTGGGGTGGGGGGTTTTGTGTTTGATTTTTTTTCCCCCTTCCTTTTCCTTCTGTGCGATGGACCTGCAGAAGTGTTAGTTATCCCTTTCGTTTACAAATTACACTTAGCCCCTTCCATAAAATATAAATACAATCCATATTCTCTGTTGCTCCTGTCCCGTATCGAAATTATGGCATCGATTCAATTAGTCACTCGCCCTCTACAAATTAGCTTCATGTAAAAAGCAGATTCGCTTCTTTTGACTCGGTTTTTTTTAAGGTCTTTTGCACGGGGGATACACCCTAACTGCTTGATTAAGTAACCGATTGATTATTGATTGATAATTTGATGAGGATCCTCAGTTTCCACCTACCATGCCTCCAGACCCATTCTCTTCCTCCAACCATTTTTGACCCGAGACTAAATCACTCAATCATTCGATCGTTTATGGAAACGTGAGGAAATTTACAGACCATCATGCCACCCACACCTGCCTCGGAGAACATAGCCTGTCTCAGATATTCCGACGATGATCATGTTTTCCCTATGTACTCCGTAATGGGGGTGTACTTGGACAGGTCGGCCCAAAGCGACAATGCTGATCATATCCTCGTTATAGACAAGAGTTTCCAGCATTGTTTCACTCTGGGGAAAGGGCCTGCCTGCAAGACTAAACTCGGTCTCTTATCCTTCTCTCTCTCTTACTAGGCGTTATATAATTGCTTATTCTTCTTGTTTTTATCTCTATTATTATTATTATTGTTGTTGTTGTTGTTGTTGTTGTTGTTTTGTTTTTTTACTCATCCTTCTTCACTTCTTCCCCTTCCGCTTATTTTGCTGCAGGTCTCTCTTGGTCACAGCCCAGTAGATGGCTAGTTCCTTGGCTGCGCGGTTGACTGGTAGCTACGGAGTATGCGCATATTCCAGACCAGCCCATCTACTACTCCGACAGGGATGATCATAGGCAGAGTAATGTCAGGTACGGCCAGGGACTACGCTACGACGGAGTAGTAAGGCTGGTTAGTGGTGACGTTTTCAGGTGAGTTGATTACAAGGCCTTGGTACTTGGTTTTGGGTCGTAGTTCCAAACCATGGATAAAGCGCATCAGATAAGACAACATCAGCATAGAACTTCATCTAATCAATCTAAGCGAGCAGCAAGCCAGACCCAGAATATCCTCGCAGACCGGTAAACGGTATAGTACCAAGTATTAACGACCGAAGAACAATGGGAATCAGATAAAAATTTTCCGTTTTAGAACCTCCTGCCGAGATAAGATCTTAGTGCGACAAATTGACTTCGCGCTAAAGCTGGGTTTTTCTTGCGACATCGGATGTTTCGGCTCTTTGTATATTCGTATGGTATGTATACGTACGGACAGGTATGGTTGAAATGAACCTTGGAAAGATATGGGACTTAACCCTATCTGGGATCCACTGGTAACTGGTACCTCAGGCTCGACATCGTTGGTCTGATATTTCCTGCCGAATAATTGGGCGCCTCAGGGCTTAGTAGGCAGAAGTAAGAGCGACTGCATTAGCCGATCGATCGCACTTGAGCTGCATTTGAAGAGGAGGACCCTTGATTGTATAGGTAACTGTTAATCCATCCTCGTTAGATTGCGCTGAGAAATGAGGCTCTCCATGAGGCAACTGTGGACATACTACGTACTACCTAGTAGTAGGTACTCAGCCCAAGTTTTCGTGGCCCTCATCCTTGTATAATTGGATGAACTAGACTTGGCCAGACTTCGCCCTACAGTATTCACGTCTCCTACCCTTTTTACCATGACGTACATAATAAAGTATTATGATCCGGCCCTAACCATGGACTTAAGACAGTTATGTTTGTTCTGTTATCTCTTAACCCTTGAGTTGATATGAATATAGCTTAGGCTGTGGTGAACTTTGCCCAAGTATAGCAGTTATGAAATAACAATGGTTGATTGCTTCAACGCTGACCTGTTCACAATTGTATTGCTTCCACTAGAGTCAACGGCCCTTGACCTGCTCGCAGGAAGCAATTGGCCTCATCCTAAACCAAAGGAACACTATCGTATACAGTACGTTAGAAATTTCAACGCAAATTGGCAAAAGTTCATTACACACAGCTCGCACCGATATCAAAGGAAATGGCATAGAATTTATTCCGAGGACGAGCAGATTAGATAAGAGCTGGCGAGGCTCAGTAAAGACTCTATATCGGAAAGCACGAGACGAAATAGTTACGCACAACATAATACAAGGAAAGCAAAGGAGTAAATAGGTACATCATCCATGAACATTTGACTCAACCAGGCGTATCAATGCAGTGTCATCCGATATCATAAAAATTGCGCTTGAAGAATGCAGTGCTTTCTAGAGCCGGTCACAGGAACACATACTAGGATCTGTCCATCCAACAACAGAAACCCACAATTAGACACCTTGTTCCGGGTCTCAGCTGACAGACTCCGATACCCACCACCACTGTACATTCGGGACGGAGTCTCATACATGCGGTTATAGTTGATCACTTCGCCACCAAGCATAGCCGCGCCTGGTTCTCGTTTTCCAAAGTACGGAGCGGGGTCACACCAGAAATCTCGACAATTGGTGACAATGCCCCGCGAGAACGGGTTCTTCGGCCGGACAGCACGTGGGCCGTCACGCAATCCATCTCGCGCGGTAGCAAAAAACGTATCAATGCCAAGAAGAGACGACCATTGCTGCAAGCAACCATGTTTTCGATGGCGAGGAGCAGCCCGGGCAAGTGCGGGATTCGGACCTTGACCAGAAGACGATAGACCGGCAGCATTGAGGGATGTTGTCCCAGCCGTTACTGCAGAGGCAAAAGCCCGCGAGCTAGGATAGCTTCGGTCAACCGAGTGCCCTCTCATGTTCTCATATGTCGTCTGATTACGAGAAATTTGGATCATCTGGACGGCAACAAGCATGGTGATCCAGACCAGCTGAATGCATACCCATAGATCGAGAACAAGAGTAAACGTATCACGGAGCACAAAGTCACAGAGAGTCTCATTGATGATGTTACACTGGGGCTGCACGGGTGCTGGCAAACTATTGATATCTAGTAATCATGGTTAGGCTGCTTATGCGATTGAAGAAGAAAGTGGAAACTTACAATTAAAGGTTAGCTGCAGGAAAAGGACAATACCAACCTCCAAGCAGGCAATATATAGAACAAAATGGCGTAGGTTATTGGCTCCGACGCAATTATCAATCCAGGGACAATGGCTAATTGGCTTTAGCACGTGACTTGCACAAGCTTCCAAGTAAATACTCACTGGTCATGTTTCGCAACGCAGCGCCCGCAGCGTTTGCAATGCTTGCTTCGCAAGGGCCGTCGGACCATGCAGCTAACACAGAAATTTTCTTCGTCGAACTTCCACTGTTCGAAGAGCTCCGTAATGACTGCTCTTTGTTGGTTTCTACTGTCGAGTTTTGGAACGAACCCAGGGTCTTCAACCATCGAGTATATGTAAAAATAAGTTGTCAGGAAGAAAAATATAGCAAAAAGCACGTTAAGAATCGGAGATGTAGAGTAAGTCACTAGAAATCCATCAATGTTTAATAAGACTTTCCCCACGGGGTAATCGAGAGCTCTTAACACAAGACATACCGGGCAGTACGTAAAAGACGTATCTGAAGCCCACCCAGAATAGGGTGCCCGCAAAAACGCCGGATAAATAAGGCTAATTTGCAAATCAGTAAACGGAACAATAGCCTTTAAGGCAGGCCAAACTTACCGTTTTTTGCAGAATCCGATATTCGGAAGGACCTTGGCTGGCGGCCTTCTGCGCTACCCATTGTAGCCCAAAGACAGTCACAAGCATCATAGGAATAGCAGCGTATACCACCATATTGCTCAGTATCCACACGGCGACGAAAACAATGGCGAAAGGCCAGAGGAAAAAGAACTTGGACATTAAGTTCTTGTTACGTGCCCAAGAAGTTAATCCAGAAGAGAAAACCTTCGCGTTCCCATCGAAGTCATAACCATATTCATCCAAAGCACGATACCACACGCGCGTGGTATTCATCTCCCCCGCCACAACTGCCGGCGTTTTACCATCCCTGGTCTTTGCAAATTTATCCGCGCCATACTCGATCAATTTTAGGACACAGGGCAAGGACCCTTTCACGAGAGCCCAATGGAGGGGAGTAAGCCCACTGTCGTCGACAGCATTGGCATTAGCGCCCCATCGCAGGAATAAATCCACCAAGGCAGGGTACCCTTTGTAAGCGGCCCACATCAAGCCCGTATGCCCTTGTTGGTCGACGACGTCCACTGGTATTTCCTGATGCAGAAGTAGCACCAGTAAGAAGGCATTTCCATCAATAGTAGCCAGGTGAAGAATATTGTAGCCTTGGACGTCGGTAAGGAGGGGGTCAGCGCCCTGTTGAAGCAGAAGGTGGACGATATAGTAGTGACACCGTTGAGCCGCCCACATCGCTGGTGTAGCTACAGATTCGCCTCCTTTGGCATTGACGTCGGCGCCGGAGTCTAGCAGGAACTTGCACATGGCGTACTGATTGTTGATCGCAGCCCACTAGAAGCGGAGTCATCCGGTCAGTAAATGTTCTAACTGCTGATACCATATGCATGAAAGGTACCGAAGATGACCAAGATACGCACGTGTAATGGGGTGATCCCTTCCTCATCCTTATGGTTGGCGCTGAACTTCTTCTCGTCGAATAATCTTTGCATAGCAGAAACCTCCCCTATCCGGGCAATCTGCATGATATCTTCACCAAGAGGGATTGACCCCCTCACAGCTCCACGCTCTGAATTCATTGTCTTGAGCTCAACACTGGCATCTTCCAGGGTAACCTTCGGGGGGATGGCTTGGCCTTTGCCGCCGAGTGCGGAGGGTGGACTTGAGCCCAGTGTTGCAAAACTGCCGTTGGTGTGCGTTTCCGTTGAAGAATTCCCGGAGGACATTTCTGTCTATGATCCCGGGAAGAACTTTCCAAGAGGGGAGGGCGTCTGTAATGGTCCTTGAGGGTGGGAGAAAGTGTGACAAACTAAACTGTGCACGGGGAGACTCGTTCGGCGGTGACAGGTTCTCGATCTAAAGAAGCATTGCTGAATCAAAATAAACAGACAGCCCTTTGAATCGACAAATCCGCGCAGGGAGATGCGATAATCTGTGATACAAGAACCGGAGATTGTGGGGAGGAGAAAAAGGAAACCGAGAGAGTATACTAGGGACTTAAAGGGTGAGGCTACTTCTTTTTCTTGGGTCGGGGGAAAACTCTCCGCGGACACTAAGAGATCGCCGGCTCACAGTTGAATCAGTAGTTTATGAAAGTAATTGACCGTTATTCACTCGACTATTAATATTTTTGACCCTCAGCAACACTCAGAAATAACCATTTCATTCTCTATCCATTAATGAACGGTCTAAACCTGTGTAGAGTTGCTTTTGAACCCATTAACTAGCTAGATATACCAAACCCGGATTACTCAGCCGTCAGATATGGTGGAAAGAAAAAGGGTATTGGTTGAATTAGGCAACCACATTGTGATGCTACCTGGATCAATGTGTATCGCATGGAATATTCGCATAGGCTGACCATACAACATAAAAGAGACAGAAGAGAGGAGATATCATGGATATCCTGAAAGCCATCAGCCTACATACAGTAAACAGCAAATTTCATACATGGAGTTGGTGGCATTATCTTGACCACAGGCGAAAGTATATTAACTGGCAACATCACTGTGATAGCCAGCATTCTCCACGAGAGCCCTTGCCTGATTGGTGAGCATATAAAGATCGACTCGCAACTCAAAATCAACCAGAAAGCAAAAGCTAATCTCGAGCTTCGAAAGTTCGCGTTCAGTCACTCCACCAACCTTCGCAATACGGCTATGAGGATAACTAAGATCTTCCAGCGTTTTCATGGCTACTCGAAGACCAGCAAGGACTAGACGATGCATGTTCCTATGGTTCAGTGATATAGTTCTCTCGACAGTCACCATTCGGGTAAGGTACATGCTTGTAGCGAGATAGACGGCTGTTGACATTGGGCAGTAGCGATGAAGCCGTAGGAGGTAGTCTTTTAATGTGATCGAAGGCACGCGCTTTGAGAGAAATCTTTTGGAAAGGATGCCCAATTGGATAAGATCGCGTCCTGCATCATTATAGCCTGCAGGGCAGCAATGTATCTCGGTGCCGCCTACGGGGGTGGCTTCCCCACTGGACACGCTATCACCTGGAGCCCTGTCCTTGGCTAGGGACGAAGCATCTACCCGGCAGTCGTCCAGTTCATCAATAGTCTGCTTAACAAGCAGCTCGATATAAACGCAGAGTAGTCTTAATGCCGAAACCGGTGGCATTTGATCGATATAATCGCTCTTCAAGGCACCTTCCTTGTCCTCTCCCGCGGGTTCCAGATCGGATTGTGCCCACCGGGAAACTACGTCCGACTGCGGATCATGAGGTCCTTCATCCTCGGAGCTGTACCCCGTCATTGCGACAAGCCGTAGACTTTTGATAGAATGAATGTAGTAGCGCGGAACGACACACCTGGCCTACAGGTGTATACCAAGCAGTCGGATGGGCGTGCATTGTGGGACTAAGCCCAAGTTACCAACATTCCTATGCCGACACTGGCTGAGTTGGGTGGTAAAAGATGGCACGCAGGTGTCTAGGGAAACAAGTGAGGAGGGGTAAGATCGAGTATATTCAAGCCGCGTAGGTGGGGTGTGATAAGAGAAAAACATGTATAGGCGTGAAAGATTAACATAACCAACCCATCCACAAGGTTTTGTTTAATGCATGGGCAATCTCCCTGTCGCGGGAGCTCAGTAGTCCGGTTTATCTGAGGTTTATTTCATGAATGCCCATATATTCTAGACCTTCGAGGTAATCGAAGTATCTGGCTGGGGGAGACGTGTGGTACAGAATGAGGGAGTTTGACTGATACGTACATACATCCCAGGATTAAATTTAAAAATCACATGATAAACGGCTCTCGCCTGTTCTTGTACTTAAAGTTACTGGGTTCAAAGCCTGGAGACCCTGCCGACCATCTAGACCCGCCTAAGCTTTGAGGTAAAACGATGGAAAACCCGACACCCGCTCAAACCCAAACATAAAAGTGAAACTTCACATTGATTGGACATTCAAACACTTCCAGACCACCCAACATACAAGTTTCCAATCCATCTCAGCACGCCGTAGCATAATGATTAAAATAGCCCTCGTCAATAGCAGCCATATTGTCGGCTGCCCCTATTATAGATTATCCGGTCGTCAGATCGTCGGGCATAACGGCGCCAGCACCTTGCGACTTCATGTCGCGCAGCAAACCCTCCCGGCTATGTCGCCTCCACGCTTCTTTGCGTATACGCTCCGCTGCTTCTGACATTTGACGATTACCAACGTGGATAATACGAGGCCGAGCACGCTCACCAGATGCACTCGTTCTTCGACAACGTCCCATTAATGGCCTTTCTGGTGAACTACGGCGGCAGGTCGCGCCATAGTTACTTTCAGGACCCCTGATGGAGGGACCGTGGCGATGAGGTCTAGCGTGGTAACGCTCTTGTTCTCTGACTCTAGTATCTCTGGCTCTGTTGGTGTTCTTGACGTACTCTACGTCGCTAGCGAAACGCACTTTTCGGCGGTCCGGACTGCGGACCCGCTCTTCACAGGGACTAGCACGATGATGGTTATGGATTTCAACGATCCTGGCTTCTCGTCTAGGGTGTTCGTGTTGAGAGATCGGCGTCGTGTCTCTCGGTTGGTGAGGGCCCCCGGACGGCCGCCGTGATCGAGGGTAGTGAGGAGAGACATCAGCCCCATCTACTTCAATATCTGATCCGAAACAGACCTTTGTTGGGGACCGAAATAGTCGTGTCTTTGGAGGAGGGGATCGCAGAGTCCTCCGCTGTGCCCCCCTTTCGTTTTCAGGCTTTCCGGCAACAAACATCTGACGGGATCGGTGGCGCCCTCTTGGACTACATACACTTTCCCTATCGGAGTCTATGCTAACTTCATCAGAGCTTGACTCCCACTCCACGTCCGATTCAGTTTCTGAATCTTGGTCTGATTCTGCAGTCCTGTCAAGGAACGGGAAGCGAAATTTTAGTGGCCGGCTTCGCAATGGCGATGATGTTCCTATGAAAATGTCCGAGGGCACTTTTGCCTCCCTAGGCTTTCTCGGCTCGATGATTTTGTATCGAGGGAGATCCACCATACGTGGACTCTTCGGCTGGGCATGTCGAATATAGAGGACCGCGGGGTCCCGTGTTAGAGAATGGCCGCAAGTGCCTGTGCCAAAGACACGGGTCCGAATGATTTTTTGGTTCGAATTTCCATCGGGCAAGCTTACCAGTCTTTTAGAAAAACGCGCTTGGTACTTTGGGGGCAAAATAAAACGCTGAAGGACTCAAATATGGCCACAAGATGGGGTGCGGAGTGGTAGTGGACAGCGGAGACAACTTCTGGCCTTAGGTGAGCTAGGAACGCTAAATATAATGACCCTAAGGTCCTTTGAGCACAAACATCGACTCTAATGAATAGACACCCTTGGGACAAAAGACATATGAAAAGAAGAACTGGACGCTGCATATCCTGGGTCCTGATTAGGAAGATAGGTAATGTCTACCGTCTTGTGCTTTCCTTGCAAGTCAAGTGAACAAGCAACCCAACAACGTCATGAACGAGAGATCAGTGACTAGAGTCATGGGTTCTACACTCCTGATTATTGGGCGCATGTCATTTTGGGGAGCAAAGAGGGGAGGATAACGAGGAATGATAAATATAGATATACATAAAGGGCGCTGACATTTGGAGGTCTTTGTATAGATAAAACGATGAACGGCGCCCTTTTCCTGCTGCCCACGAAACATCACAAGGGAACAAAGGAGGCAAAACGCTACTCATAGCCGAAATACTAAGGTGAAGTGTAAGAGGCAGCTCACATCGGAAAATAAGATGGAATTAGCGCCACTAGAAAGGAAATGCTGCTGCCAAATCGTCGATAGAAAGTTTCGTACTAGTGGTAATATCTTGCCGCGTAACATATCTATCAATCGAGGCTACAGTTGCTAAATTTCCTATACCAACACTATGCATGGGGGGCAAAGATGAGGCAATTAAATTCATGGTGGTCATTATGGCCATCATAGGTACGGGTAGTTAACAGTCACAGGACATATTCCAAGTCAGGCGGGCAGGTAAGGCAGAGAAAAGCAAAAGGGAGAGACGACAATAATCATGAGTAAAGAGAGAAAAAAATTCGTCTCGAGAAGAGATTACATCACACAAATTTTCTGGGGACTTCCCATCCTTCTTTATTCTTTTGTGATAGGTTGCCGATATGAGAGGACTTCCATGCACAGGGGCTGCGGCAACGCCAATACTACTAGTAGTATTATAGACATTTATATATGCATGACGTGCAGCCAGTGAACTCACGGGCATCTAAGGCACCCATCAGTATTCTAGGTACACCATGTGGACAATAGCCGCGTGATTTATTATGTGGCACAGGATTATATCATAAATTGCCTTATTACCAGCCACATGGAGAGGCGCAGTTCATTGTCTTGAATGATATTCACAATACTTTCCGGCCAGTTTAGTCTATCTTTTTTCAGCCTTTTCTTTAAATCCAATGAATTAGAAAAAGTTTTACACAAGAAAAGAAACGAAAAGAAAATGAAAGAGAACAAGGAAAGATAAACCAAAGACAGCCATTAGCACCTGCAAGGCTCTGCAACATTCCTTTTTATCTCATAGTCATTACCATACACGTTTCTTATGCGAGGCTGTGGTAGTACTGAACGCTTTATGTCAACCCCCACTTCTCAACAAACGTCTCTCGATTCCTATCACGTTGGAAAACTACTCCCAGGTCCAGCATTTCAACCCCGTTTTGTACATGCTCTAGTTTTAGTTGAAGGTCAGAGAGCTCGGCCTCATGAATGTCATTCGTGAGCAAAGTCTTCATGCATGAATTGACATTTAAGGAGGACGAAAGAAGCCGGGTTGCTTGATCACTCGAGATCATTTCGGTCATCAGTGGTGCATCTGCAGCAATGTCGTAATTCTGCAGACAGTCGAACATGTGATGTCTCGCGTCAAAAAGCATATCAATGCCCATAAGTTCTTCCTCGGGTTGGAACGCCGACTCGGAAAATAAGCCTGTGCGGCGCAAGACAGCGGCGAGGGCATGGGACTCAGAAAGTGAATCGATGCGTTTCACAGGAGGCGTGGATGCCAACGTTGGTTGAATCGAACTTCTCCTAAAATCCTCTCGTCTTGGTACAGATATTTCATGAAACTGATTCCCTACTTTGGCTCGATATGTAGCATTCAAAGTTTCGAGAGTCCCGCAGAATGACTCGCGATCTTGCAGGGATTTGGTGAGACGTTCCGTAGATAATGTCATAGCGGCGACCAGGTCTAAGATCTACTCCTGTTTAGTCAACGCAACTGTGATCAAGGGTCGACTTACATAGTTGAGTTTCTTGTGGGAAGCAACGTGCAACTGGTCGTGATGATTTTGGAGCGCGCGTGACACAGGTGCGGTGTACTGTTGCTTCGTATACATCTCAGCCAGAAGGTCAATCTCTGGATACAGCGACTCCAGTTCTTCTTCCAGTGCGACCGAAACTTCATCAACAGCATCATTAAGCTTCTGCTTGGCCTTGAATTGGCCGGCTCGGATGTTCTCCAAGTAAACTCGATCGAGCCGACATTGTATTTCTTCTCCAAGACATTGGGCAAGTATCGTGCTCAACTCGGAGGTCCGTTTCACTACAGAGGCGTCATCTCCAGTAGGTCCTATACCGGATCCAAGCCGCTCTAGATCTGCTAGTACTCTATTGTCCTCCTTTAGCCAAGCTGCGAGAGTTGACAATATCCTTTTACTATCCACCGCTGTGTTCTCTGATTCGATTTTCAAACCCGCTTTCACTTCCTGAGCCAATTCAATAGACTGCAGGTATATAAATCAGCAGGGTATCTTGATTTAAGATCGAGGGCGATCAGTACCGCGGCACTCGTGCTTTGTCTTTCCGATCTGCATCTCTGACGCAGGTGTTCTATGCCAATATTGCGTCTGACTTGTTGCTCACCTTCTATACGAAGCCCTTTGTCTCTATTGTCGCATTGGGATACTAAAATCTGTTTTTGTTTCTGGATCACAGCGGTTGAAGCGTTCAGCGAGTCAATCGCCCTCCGAATGTCTTCATCGAGAAACGGTCGGTCCGCATTTGTATCGGGGTTATGAATAATATTCTGTAAAGAGCCGGTCCTTTCGAGTTTTGTATACCTATTTGTATAGCCAATACTTAGCATGCTAATCTTTGACTACGCCTAAATATATTGAAGGAAGTCTGCAGACACACAAAGTGAGCTCCTCTTGGGACAAAAGAGTGTCGTGGTTCAGGTACTTCATCACCCATTTTTCGTTCTCGGCAGCTTCCTTCTCGTCGGTAAAAGCTGCTTCAACCTCAGCATATTTCAATGGAATACCACGATCTTTTAAGGCGATGATCAGAGTATTCGCTTGGTCGTTTGACTGACTCATTTTTGGGTTTGGTGTGTTAGTTTGTTTGGGCAGGGAGGTCGGGAACGATGCCGTCACCGCTTTTTATTATCAAGCATAAATTAACTAAACGATTTATCTGTACATGCTCAGCTACATGACCTTTTAAGGTACCTTCAACTACCCACTCGTAGAATGAACCTAATGCATTATCATTCATTAGAATTTATTGTTACATCTATACAAGTTGTGTGGCATAAAATTGACCCCCTAGAAGATGCGCAGCACCTCCTCACTCCAAATAAATTACTTCTCACAAAGGTCGCAAACAAATTTAGTTCGTTATGAACATCTGCACGGTCATGCTTCATGGTGGGTGGATACCCCCTCAGCCTCGATTTGAGGGTAATACCATGTAGTGACCGCAATGATCACATATATAAGCACACAAAGGCCACCCTCGAGCCAGTTGGACTTGCCGTCCCGTAAGAAATTTCCGACGACCAAGATGGATAATACTACCAAGACAATCATAAAGATCTCAAAGTTAAGACCCATTTCCTTATCAAGCCCCCAGCCGACGAGGACCACAAGTGGAGCATTTAGCAAAGTGGTCTGAATAGATGGTCCGAGACAGTGGAAGAGTGCAAAGTTAATTTGGTTATCCCTGCGCAGAGTCAGCCGATAATGACCTTAATAAATATGCGAGTGTAGTATTGTACTTACCAGGCTTCATCTATAGCAGTCAAATGCTCCGCTGCTTTCTCTACCAGGGGAACAAGAATTAGGCCCATAAAATTATCGGAAACGCCTCTTTCATGGACAATATGTTCAATCTCCTGGACCAAGAAAACGGCGGACAGGCAGACACATGCGAGAGATACAGAGATGGCCACGAAGCATTCGACTAGCGTAAGCTTTGCGCGCTTCATTTCCTCTTCCCGATCCTCATCCTTATGTTCATCTAGTTCAAGGACCTCGTCGAATATGCTGTGATGGCTATGCAGGTTGTAAACCAGGTACCTGAGAATGGGAGTGAGTATGGTGGTATGTCACGACGCTTGACTTTGCGAACTCACATCAGAAAAGCGACTAGAAGGATAACTGCAGTGGCCCTGCTGATCACCAAGGTAGAATGAGACAGGGTTTCTTCTGTAATGGTGGTCTTCGAGCTGTTTGCGCTCAGAGCCGAAAAGAAAGCACTCGGAATCAAGAGACCGAAGCCGGCAACTAGGAGGAGCCCAGTGCCCACTTCACTCACGGCCTCGTGGAACGACTGATGCTCACGCCCTATGCCTCCAAAGAAAAAGCACAGGCCTAGACAAAGCAAAAGATTCGCCAATACGGAACCGAGGATCGCTGCCTGAATGACAGGAATCAGGGTACCGTTGTTATCATTATGTATCAGAACCATAAAGAGGACAATCTCTACCACCGAGCTCAACGTTGTCTCTAACAGAACCCCGAGAACCTTGGGTAACTTCTTTGCGAGCTCCCCTCCTGCGAACCCAAGCAAGTTTGCTGAGGGAACCATTGCAATATAGTTAAGAGCAAAGATCCAGATATGAAGACCGGGCCTAGCGAAGTGGATGACGATAGCCGCTGGAACAAACGGCCAGAGAATATTTACCAGCATTGACAGGGTACAAGTACTCTTGAAGCACACCCGGAAGAAGTGAATTGGGTGAATTCCGCTTCGCCCGCTCTCACCAGCTGTATCTATACGGAACAGTCTATTGCGGCGAAGGGAAGCCTTCTCATTATGTGTAGGGAGTAGGGAACCATCGTGTGAGCCCGCCGGCTGGGCGATTCTCAACCCTTCGTTGCCCTGTCCCTTTTGCCGTGTAGCAGACAATTCCTCTATGCTACCCATGATCACCCGGAGCGCTAACTGCTTGTTTCAGAGTAAGAGATATGAAAGCAGTTGTGTCGGTGTTAGGCCTTTTGAGGAGATGTGTTTAACAAAAATGCCAGAGATTAGTAAACGAGGACGAGGAGAAGGAGAAGGGTTATTGAGATAATGGGGTAAAAGCACGTCTAGGAAGAGATATATTGTAGCATGTTTAACAGATGCTCTTGGAACAAAAAGTGAAGAGCGAAATCAATGGGGGGAGAGAGGGATAACAAATTAGAAAACAAACACTAGTGTTGGTTGCACCCCAAGGCTGTTTTTAAGGTTTATGGAGCTGTGCTTCCTCAGGTTTCTTTTTCTTCTTTCCCCCTTTACCAGTCGATGCGGTGGGATGGCATCAAATTCCGTGGTCAAAGAAAGAAGCAGAGAAAATAAGTATATTAAGGTTTGTTGGACAAAAAGAAATATTGGTGTCTCACAAAAAAACACACACAACCCCTGGTGCTCGGGCAGCTTGGTAAGTACAGAGTACGTAGTTAAGAATCTCCAGAATTTTCATTTCAACACAAAGTCAGAGCCCCCTAAGCTAGTATCTGCCGAAGGAGGCGCAGACGATGGATCGGTGGTCGATGTGGTGAGGCTTTTCTTGGCACGCCAATGGGTATGCATGCTATCGAATCACTGGATGAGATTTGGTGGCTCTCTGAGGGTCTGAAACCACTTGAACCGCCCCGTTGCAGCTAGACTACTAGTAGTTATATGCCCACGTCTACCACGTATTACGGAGTCGTTCATGCTTATGTAGAAAGTGGACATTTAATTTCAGGAATAGGAGGACGTTCAGGTGATATACATAAGGTAAAATGTACTTGAGATGGACTGAAAATTTGTATGTACAACGAGAGTCCCCCATTGAACTTTAAGTCGTCATGAGCTGAAGTGGAGGATGAATCCCTTATGGAGAAAATGGAGACCAAACAAAACTGACCATTGGGTGAGAAATAGTTACTCCACTCATAGGTGCCGATGCCCAGCCACGTATGTATACTGTGTAGAGTACGGAGTACTTACCGGCTTAAGACTGGGTAGAATTAAGGAAATATATACACCATCTCCCCTCTTCTTCTGTTTCTCTTCTCCACACAAGAAAAGCCAAGGGGCGCAAACAAAAAAAAAAAAAAAGAGCAGGAAAGGTGTATGGATTTGATTGTTCCCTACTCAACCTCATTCAAACAGCAAAGGAAAACCCGCGATTTCCAATTTATTCTAACTTCAGGTGGTCTGCCATGTAGGCGGACAAACATCTAGGAGTGTAGCTTAATACTTTCTTTCCCTTTTCCACAATTTGCAGTATAGGATGGATTTAAAAGATTGAATATTGCTATGCATATGAATGTGTGAATAATATGACTATTTACCTGTATTCTACAAAGTCAGATTGATACCTACCTAAGTAAAAGTAGGGAGGGTCTGGACCAATCTTAATTTTAATCTTCTAATCAAGCATAAATGTGGTGGTAACGAATCACAATTGGTCACGCTGGACAGACCGAAATCTACCTACTAGTAGGAGGGGTAAAGGAGACCAAAACAATCAACTATGAATAAACTGCTACTGTTAGATAAGCGGCATACAAAATACACTATACTCACACCACAAGGTGTATTGTGAATTTGTCTTTAGTATCATTGGATCACAATGTATGTAGATAAATAATACAAATAGCATATCGTATGAGAAGAGCCATTACAATATTAAATTGTGGCAACAACGGTTACCTTCGGGCGGGGTGTGTAACATCTTACGAGATTTTTTTCTTTCTCCTGTTGAACCCTTCCACCAATTTTTTACTCCTTCTCTCTTCCTTTTTTCGCCTTCCCCAATTTCTTTTCCTTCTTTTTGTTCTCCCCTTTCCCTTTGTCCTAATTTCGTTTGCTAGACATTGCTCAAATCCCCACCAAAATGTCTTGCATCACTACGCCAGCCGTACCTCCGGTGGCTCTTGACTCAATCACTCAGCACATTGGCAACACGCCCCTCGTGCGCCTGAATAGACTTCCACGTAGCCTTGGGATTGAGGCGACTGTCTATGCGAAATTGGAATACTTTAATGCTGGAGGGAGTGTGAAAGATAGGATTGCTCTGCGCATGATCGAGGAGGCCGAACGATCGGGGCGCATAAAGCCTGGTGATACTCTCATCGAACCCACTAGCGGTAATACGTAGGTCTATCAACAAGCTCATTGATTCCTATATAATACCTTTTGCTAATCGCTAAATCAGTGGAATTGGTTTGGCGCTCGTCGGCGCTGTAAAGGGTAGGTAATCATCTGCTGAATGATACATGCTGGATTATTAAATCTTTCTGGTGTATGACAGGATACAAGACCATAATTACCCTCCCGGAGAAGATGTCAGCTGAGAAGGTGGCCGTATTGAAAGCGTTGAATGCAACTATCATCCGTACTCCTAATGAAGCCGCGTACGATTCGCCGGAATCTCACATCGGTGTCGCCAAGCGTCTTGAGAAGGAACTCCCGAATGCGCATATCCTGGACCAATACGGGAACGAGAATAACCCGCTGGCCCACGAATTGGGTACAGCGGAAGAAGTCTGGACGCAGACCAAGGGTCAAATCAAGGCCATTGTCGCCGGTGCAGGAACTGGTGGAACAATCACTGGACTGTCCCGGGGCCTCAAGAAGCATAACCCCGATATCAAGGTTATTGCAGCTGACCCTCACGGTTCCATCTTAGCGTTGCCGTCCTCGTTAAACGAAGACCATGTAAACGAACCATACAAGGTCGAGGGAATTGGGTATGATTTCATTCCCCAAGTGCTCGACCAGCAGGCCGTGGACCAGTGGTACAAAACCGGAGATAAAGATTCATTCCAGTACGCTCGGCGGTTAATTGCTGAAGAGGGCCTCCTTGTAGGAGGAAGCAGTGGGAGCGCCATATCGGCTCTGGCGCAAGCGGCGAAGGACTACAACTTCGGGAAAGATGATGTGATTGTTGTCATTTTGCCTGACAGCATCAGAAGCTATTTAACTAAGGTCTCTGAATTTTCCATTGGTTGGTTGAGGATTATTGCGCTAACTAGTATCAGTTTGCTGACGACGACTGGCTTGCTGCTAATGGACTTTTGACATCGCCCCTGGTCGAAGCTGCGGACGTGCCCTCGACACTGCAGCCCCATGAACAAAGGGATGCCTTCGCTGGATCAAGGGTCAAGTCGCTGAGGTTAAAGCCCATCACAACTGTACAGTCGAATATCCCCTGTGAAACTGCCATCGAAATGATGCGAGATCGCGGATTCGACCAACTGCCCGTGCTTGCGCCTTCTGGCAAGAAGCTCGTAGGACTAGTGACTCTAGGGAATGTTCTCAGTCGACTCACTCACGGACGTGCTACTGGGAAGAGCCCTGTGTCTGATGTTATGTTTAACTTCAGTAAAATAACCGAGGTGGTCACTGACCCAAGAGATATGGGTTTGACTAGTTCCACGCCGGAAAAAGCGAATAGCTCGGAGTCCCGGATTAAAGACCGGAAATTTGTGGAGATCACTATGGATACACCGCTCAGCGTATTGAATCGGTTCTTCGAATGGAACAGTGCTGCGGTAGTTACTGAAAGAGACGAACATGGAGTGATGAGACCCGTGGCAGTTGCAACAAAGGTCGATCTACTTACATGGATGCTTCATCATAAGGACGAATCGGCCTAATACAGTGTTTCCTCGAGCTATGAATATCAGTATACTTGGAGTGCGAGACTGGAAATTGTCCATGCTCCATTTTCTTATGTACTTTGTTTTTCATTTACGCTTCGTCATGCCAGGAAGTACAACGTCTATTCTATCATATGTGGTGTCATTTATGCGACTAATAGGGGGGGCTTACGGATAGAGAGTTCATTTTAACGGGGCAAAGTATTTAAGACCACTTACAATAACATTATATGCGGCCTAGAGTATCCTGATAAGAGTGGTGACTTCAATGGCAAAACTCTGGGCTTTATGTATGTCCGACGTATGCGTATCGAACCCCGGTATATTTCCCGCGGATCTAGCTTTTGATTTCCATAGCTAGCCCATCTCTACCTTATAAAATGGCTGGCTTCTTTACTTACCGGCAATTCTCCCTGGATGATACTCCATTCTTGACCAACAAAGTGGCCGTTGTAACAGTAAGTGTGAAGATCAGTCCACGCATGTAACTCGCTCTGTGTACCTTGGCTCGGGGGGTGAAAATCGCTGACCAGTCTATTATCTAGGGTGGTTAAGCAGGCATAGGAAAGGGCAAGCAATGGCTTTTCCCATTATTTTGGCACATCCACTAACTGCAGTTGCGGTGTCGATGTAGAAATCACCGCACAGCTACTTTTGCATAGGATTGAGAAGGTTTATGTGCTTGCCCGAAGCCATAATAAGTATCTACGCGCGCAGGAGGACTGGCAGCGATGTGCTGGTAGTTCCCTGGGGAAGGATGATACGAGAGTTCAGTTCATCCAATGTGACCTCGCCGATATAGTGGCTGCCAAGGATGCAGCCAATGAACTCAAGCAGAGAACTGACAGGCTCGATATCATGATATGCTATGCCGGTACATTTAGCACTTCACTGTTTTATTAGCACATCCCCAATTGACAGAGCTCACTTTGTCTCTGTACACACCCATATATAAGATTATTTGCTGATGTTCGAACCGCGGAAGCCGTTGGTGTATCAACCAAATATGAACGATCGCCACAGGGTATTGAACAGGTATTTGCTTCAAACTGCGTTGGCCATCAGGTGTTGGCAACCAATCTGCTGCCCATCATGAAAGGTACTATTACTCAAGGCAAGGCTAGCAATGGGCGAATTGTGGTAGCTAGTTCGTCTCTGCACTCATTATGCCGTGAGCTAAAACTCGACCTTCTCACCTCACCCACTCGTCCTAAGCCAGCATATATCGACGGTGTGTGGCGTTATGCTCGCGCTAAAGTAGGCAACATACTCTTTGCAAGGGAACTAAGCCTGCGGTTGATGCAAGAAGAGGATCCAGCCAGTAGCAAGATTTACGTTAATGCCTTTTTCCCAGGTAATATCGTTACCGATCAGTGGATTGTTTGGGATGAGTATGTTGGAGGAGCCTTTGGTTCCCTGCTTAGGCGCCTATTCTCAATCATTGGTCAGAGTCTGGAAGATGGTGCTGCAAGTGCCATTTATTTGGCCGCGAGTCCAAAGGTGATATTAAACGGCACTCATGGTCAGTACTTCATTCCTGTTGCAAAGCCATGCGAGACAACTGCCATTGCTAGCGACTTAAAACTCTCTCGTGATCTTTGGGGAAGCCCTGGCCTTCCCTCCCATAATGAACGTTTCCTATTGCGCTCAGTGCGTTCCTTCCATGCTAGATCACTATTAACTTGGTGGTTTTTTCTACCTACAGGATTGCATAGAGGCCAAAGCAGCAGAGGCTCTAATCCCCGAAGAACAAGACTAAACCCGTACCGTCGATAATTGAAGGTCATATTCTTTATCATTATAGTAGCATCCTGGGGTTAATGTCCAGGTGTGTTAGTCTCGTTTGTTCTTTTAGCTGTGTAACATCGAAGCCGTTCGCACATTTCAGATCGAGTGCATGTTGTAAAGTCGTAACTAAGGCGCACAATTTCAGTCACAGACACTGACCAACCCATTCTTCCCACTTCCTGACACCAGACCCAAGATCACTCCCCTCATCACCCTTAACAGCGCCACCGACGACATCAACTCTTACGCCGACTTCATCCTCCAAGCATTTAAAGCTGAATGTATTTTGCGCATCACTGCTACCCAGAATATCATCATCACCGTCACCCATGCTAGCATCAACGCTGGCATCCATGAGGCTCTTGCTCTTGGACTTGCGTATTTTGTCGATTTCAGCTTCTAACTTCTCCCGGACAGAGCCAGGTGGCAGTGCGGTGAAAAGGTCTTGCTTGTTGGCAGCCACAAGGATGGGGATCTCTGAGGCCACCTTAAGAGACGACTTGCCTTTATTCAACGCCCGTTTTTGAAGAATAAGAAGTACGTCGTACAGATATGAAGCTGTATCGCGCAACACTTCAACATCAGAAAGAGCAGCGGTGTCCACAGTGAATATGACCCCACGTAATTTGGACTTCGAGTCTTTCGAGTCTGACATGGAGGAAAGTTGCGAGATACCCTGGGGTCCCCGTAGTTTGCCATGACCAGGGGTATCTCTCACGCGGTATTTGACAGGGTTTTTGGATGTGTCCTTCAAGGATGGGTCATTGACCGACCGGTAGCGATTTGAGGCAGTGGGAACGGAGGCGGGAAGGCTGACGGTGGTGAGATTAGACGTCTGAGAAGTATGCGTTCGCTGAGTCTGCTTCTTTGCAAGAGGCGACGATTTCGTTTCAAGCTGTCAAAGTCCCAGGATAACGTGTCAGCATCCGTTTTCACCACCCATACGTCTTTCGAGCTGCATAGGCTTGCTTACCAGGGACAAGAGAGCAGTTTTGCCTGCCCCGCTGGGTCCAAGCAGTAAGAAGTTGCTAGATGGCGGGGAAGCAACAGCTTGATAGAAAATCAAATGTAGCAGAACTGGCAATCCGAATGCAATAAATGCGGTAATGGCGATAGCGATAGGATTTCCATCGAGCAGACTAGTAGCAATGCCGCCGACTGATCTCCAATCTGCATGACTCCCCATCTCAGCGGATAGGATGGATGATGGGAATGACCTGAGAAGACGGGTGAGAAATAACCAGATAGTAGAGAGCTAAGCTAGAATGATGGATTAATGGTCGTCACACTAGTAAATTAATGTCACTTTTCGGAGGTTAGCTAACATAGGTAGGCTAGCTCGTCAAATTATTTACCGGCTGCTGCAGACATTATCCCGCACATCAGGCCACCGCCCGTGGAGTGGAGTTTGGCCAGTGCCTGCAAAAGTATTATAATTGTGTTAGGTACGGAGTAGATTCTTCTTTTAAAACATGGAAATGCAGTTTTACCACCTGTACGGAGTATAGTACAATACATGCAATAATAGTATCATGTATGTACCCTGTAAGTAAGTACTGTACTGTACTGTACTATGCTAAAGTTTATATGTATGTACATACATGTACATTACAATACGTGGTCTCCCGCGATCGAGCCTTGAAATTCAATTAATCCAACCTGGTCAATCTCACATACCTCCGGTTTGCAGGGATGGCGGTAGGGTTAGTGATCTGGTGGTAATTGTCGTACGCGAGACCAAGAGCAGGCTTTCTTTGTTTCTTTCATTCGCTCATTCTTCCTGTCCATCCTTCGCTATTCCTTTGATGGTTCCCTGTTGCTCAGCCGCCGCAATCGAATGATATTAGAGTCCAGTATGAGATTCATCCGCTCGTTACCTGTGGTCCTCCCTCTATTCTCGACAGCGCTGGCAGATGTCGAGTTCACAGCGCCAGCGCGTGGTACGATAATGAAGGCTGGGGATGTAGTAACAGCACACTGGAGGGACTCTGGCGAGTCTCCTCGAATTTCTGAACTTGTACAGTACGATCTTTATCTCTGTGCCGGCGGAGACACATTGGGATCCCAGGTGGGTTGTTAAAGCCTCGTCTCCATAAACCAGTGAACCTTTCACTGACCACGAGGGGCCGTATAGGAGAACCTGGCTGTTCTTATCAAAGACGGTGTTTTTGCCCGCGGCAACTCGGTTTCTTTTAAAATTGATCCATCAGTTGGCGGCAACGAACCAAACGCATAGTAAGAATAAGGCCTACTTCCACAGCTCGCCAGCTCATCCTATTAACAATGGCTTTGATCTGCAGCTTCCTGAAAATGGTTGCATCCGGTCCCGACGCCCATGTAATCAATTTCTCCGATCGTTTCACGCTTACAGACATGGCCGGCGCTTTCTCGTCGAATTTGGACGATGGCATTGGTTCACCTAGCGAAGACCACGGGCAACATGAACCGCAGAAAAGGCAAGCAGCTGGAGCCTATACAATTCCATACCAATTGCAGACCGGGCCTACAAGATATGCGCCTATGGCAAAAAACCTGGGTCAACAATCCCCACAGATAGGTCGCCAACTCCCCAATTTCCGACCAGCGCATACGAGATTGCCACCGCATACCTTTCTGCGCCTACAGTTCAGACTACAGTGTCTGCTTCTTTAACGTACTCCGTTTCCAGTATTGAGAACACTGTATGTATCGCAAGGCTTGATTCCTTAAGTCGACATTCTTGTAACTGACCAGTTGTATAGGCATCCCCTGCACCACATCCTCATGATAAGAAGATGAAAAGATTTCTGGAAAGGTGGAAGGATTGAATATCAACAATACAATAGAGTGACAGGGCCAGACCATTAGGGGCGTGACTATCTGGTTGTTCTTGTGATTTTGCATTGATTTGGGATTGGTCGGCTTTCCTGTGGCGTTGAGACTTGCGTTCGATGTCTGGCTTATATTTGATTTTCTATGTTTGGGTTGATTGAATGTGGTATTTCTATAGTATCTGAGAACTGGAACGCTCATGGAAGCCCTTACTCATCTATATACAGTGCTGTTGTAAGCATAAACCTTGAAAGAGATCATGTATCATAATGTTATCCTAGGATATAAAATCGCCCTGATGGCACTATATGCAGGGTAAGAAGCCATAGTATGAAAGCTAGGCAGAGCGGTTAATTCATTTACCTAAACCAACGGTTGGCTACCGCAATGGAGGATCATCCTGTTGAAAGAAGGAGATATTTTCTCGAAGGGCGACATATTCACTATCTGCGTATCCGAGCAAAGTTTGAATTTGAGTACTCCTGTGCCCTTTGATGCGCTCGATTTCGAGGCTGCCGTAGTTGACCAGTGCACGCCCGACCTCTTTGGGCTCCTGGCCGTGGTGGAGAAAATCGCCATTCAATGAATCAGGGGAGAGCCTCTGTACTACAACCAAACGTACTGCTTCCTGTTGTGCAAAATGACCATCCACACCCACAACGCCTGCTGGTAGGAGACTGGCTTTCTTCTGGAGGGCACTGTATGCGCCGTAGTCAATGAATATGGTTCCATGGGGCTTCAGACCGTGGAGCAGCCAGAATGTCCTGGATTGAACCGGATGATCAGAAGGAAGGAAGCGTGTATGCAGAGGGGGTACTTCAGTGACAGCTCCATTCATTGGTATGGGTGCATTTTCTTCTTGCTTAACCTGCTGGAGATATTTTACAATCTCATGAACGTTTCCAGGTTTCGAGCTCTTGGTGATAATCGTCGTTACGCCAGCGCTAGTTCCTAATTTTGCAGCGACAATTTTAGTGCTCATACCCCCAGTCCCAAGGGACGATCCAGCTGAGGATACATCAGCCTCCAACGAGGATATATCTGAGACAACTTCGATGGGACTTGCATTTGGGTTGTGGCGTGGATTAGCAGTATACAGACAGTCAACATCCGTCATCAAAAATAGGTAGTCGGCCTTGACCATGGCAGCTGTTATGGCCGACAGTGTGTCGTTATCACCAAATTTGATTTCCTAGATAAAGCGTATAATTAGGTTCCATCGTACTGACATAATTTTGGGCTGAGGCTTTACCGAAACAGCTATAGTATCGTTTTCATTGACGATAGGGATAACACCCATATCAAAAAGCTGTGAAAAAGTATTTTGGGCGTTGACATATTGTGTTCTCTTGGTATAAGTTAGATGTCGCTTACCATATCATTTATGAGCACTTAGGCCTTACATCTGCTATGTCATTCCTAGTCAAGAGAACCTGAGCCACAGGTAAACGAAGGTGCGAAAATAAACCATCCCAGAGGCTCATGAGTCTGCATTGTCCAACAGCCGCGAGTGCCTGGCAAATACTATGAGTGAATGTTCTTTGACTGACAGCACATATAATTGTCCATACCTGAATGCGAGGCAAACTCTTGGGTCTTTCTTCGACATCCATCCTCCGCAACCCCACTCCGACAGCCCCCGAGGAAACAAGAACAACATTGTGGCCATCCCGGCGAAGCTTGGCTGCAGTTTCAACTATCAGAGTGAGAATTGAAAGTATCGGCTCATGAGTGCTTTCATCTACTATGGAACTCGTCCCTGTTGGAAAATCATAAGTTGATATTCTCTAAAACTAGGTGCATTGTTAAGTTGGACTGATCCCCGCACCTAATTTGATAACGATTGTGAGACGTCGAGAGGCCATGGTAACTTGGGACCCCTAATATAGCCAAAACCTAACATGCAAGAGCACTTATCGTACACTGTATCCAAAAAATGAGATGCTGCTTCTAGGCTTTAGGCGCTTCTCTCTCCTGAAAGCCAAGCAAGGTCCGGAGTCGGAGTCACCCATGCGATTGCTATAAATATACTGCCAATTATTACCGCCAGGTTGTGCGGAGAGCATCGGCGAAACTCTCTTCCGCATGCTGAGCTTCAGCATGTTAAGACGGGGTGAGTTTGTTGGACTCAATTTGTTTCCTCCAAGATGTCAGGGTCACAACAGTCTACGACCTCAGAACCTCCAGTAAGTACTCATAGTACTGGGTTTCTACCAGGAGACGACACATGGACACAATGGCGCAATATCTTTGCAATCTTGACGGGGAAAATGTCAGATGAAGGGGTCGAACAGTTTCGTGTCGCGAGGGACATTCGAAATGAAGCCGCAGATTGCAAGCGTTGCGAGGACCAGCGTGATTACCTTCTGCAGTGGAGTGAGTTCTTATATCCCATTTCGAACAGCTTCTAGAAGACCCGATAGTTGCTAAAATGCTCGCACTTTAGGCCCTGTAATTCGTTATCTGAGCGATAACATTCGACAACTCGGAGGTGACCTATCTAGTCACAATATCTACTGTCGTCGGTGTACGAATAGGAAAGCGGGAGGCTTTGATCCGGACTTTGGGATCCTGCTTTGCGCAAATGAGATGAAAGACCAAGGGCATCTCGAGGACACAATGGCTCACGAAATGGTCCATGCTTATGATCACTTGAGATTTAAAGTTAACTGGGCAGATAACTTGAGGCATGCAGCGTGTACTGAGGTACCAAAAACTGAGAATCCTTTACAGGGATTTTGCTGACTATAGTTCAGATACGGGCCAGCTCACTTAGTGGGGAATGCAGATGGGCGCGGGAGTTCTTTCGACGAGGTCAATGGCGATTCACACAACAACATCAGGAATGTGTCAAAAGAAGAGCGATTTTGTCGGTGCGGGCAAGGCCTGCATGCAAGGATGACGCTCACGCCGAGAGGGTTGTAAACGAAGTTTGGGATAGCTGCTTCAGAGACACTCGGCCGTTTGATGAAATTTACCGATGACACCTCGTGGTCTCTAACCTACCTGATACTACTCCACTTGCTGTTCAATTTTTCAGTCCGAAACTTCCATGTATATTATGTTCCATGTAACCAGAGCGAAGATAACAATTAACACCATATTCGAGACTCCTTCATAAAAGCAAATGAACCCAAGGAACTCCATCAATCCAAAGTAAACTCCTTTGGGAGTTAAAAAAATCTCAGAACTCCAAAACCCCGCTGAAATGCATGGATAACACCTCATACTTTACCTTCCTTTGAGGAGCCAGAACTTCTTTTCGTAACTCGGTCGTCTTTTAGACAGTGCTTAAGTATCCAAGGGTGTTTTTGGATTTCATCTAGCGAAATACGCTTCTCAGGATCAAGAACAAGTAACTATAAGGAGTAAGCATGTGAGGTGACATTCAGTTGCCTTCCAGAGGTTGAAACATACTCTTTTGATCAAGTCTTTTGCCTCGGGGCTCACAAAGGAAGGAACTGTCATGTCTGCTCGTGCAATCCGTCTTTGTGTCATGACAGGAGTATCCTCAAATGGAGCTTCTCCGACCAAAAATTCGTAAGTCAGCACACCTAAGCTCCACAAATCAACTTTTTCACTGTAGTAATTGTCCTGCGAGCCTGGCTTGAGCATCTCGGGTGGCAGATAATCAAGCGTTCCGCACATTGTCTGCCTCCTGTTGTTGGGTGCGTGGACACTCCACCCAAAATCACTGATCTTGATTTCACCATGGATCCCGACGAGGATATTCTCTGGTTTTATGTCACGGTGCATGACATGTTTCTTATGCAGATATTTCAAAGCAGCAGCCATCTGGGCAATATACTGGGCAGCCTTCCACTCCGGAAATCGATGTTCTTTTCTCAGGTGTTTATACAGCTCTCCCCGGCCGGCAAATTCAAGGATCAGAAAAATTCGCTTGCTGTCTTGGAAGTGGCCATAGAGTCTTAAAACATTCGGGTGGCGCAAGTTGCTCTGGATTTCAATCTCCCTTCGGACCTGCTTTTGCACCCCACCCTGTTGCAATTCAGACTTGTGCAAGACCTTAAGAGCGCACACAAACCCGGATGATCGTTCCTTAGCTAGATAGACACGACCAAATTTACCCTTACCCAAGGGTTTTCCTATTTCAAACATTCCCAGATGTAGCTTCTTCGGTGCTGGTTGGTCGTAAAGCGATGGTTGGCGTTGGTCACCGTTTTCATCTACGTTGCGATGCGATAGTGTACCCTTGGCAGGGGATGAACTAACATTTATCGAATTGACCTTATTATCATTCGTATTCTGCAGAGCCAGCTTGAGCAGATTCGACCGATTGGCGCCATTGTTCAACTGTGCCGTGGTCCCAAGTCCAGACAGGGAGACAGCTGTTGACAGAGAGCCCTAATCACCAAGGTGAGTAAGGAAACACTTCATGCACTGTGCAGTGAAGCGGCAGCACTTACTTTATTCTTCGCATAGGTTCCACAGCTGTTGTTTGATACATTCTCATCCTTGACTGATAGATGTTCGAAGCGGCTTTCCAAGGTCTTCGTGGTCATGGCTAAAACGTCAAGGGGGGAGGGCGAGTAGTCTATAGGAAAGTAATGATTAAAGTATAGGAAGAAACAAAAAGGCAGCTGTGTAGCAATTGTGTGGTTTACATAGACATTATTGAGGCTGCAAGGTGCTGCTGTTGTCGACAAGGAATTTGAAGCGAATCAAATCAAGTATCCTGGGCATTTCTGTTGATCACATCACGCTCCTCAGCATGTCACCACGGCAACGCCTCGGACTACCTCTTTCTCCGACACCGCGGGGTTAATCAATCCTCCGCAAATGGTGACTTCGATAAGGAACCCCTGGAGTCAAGGCACTTCCTGCTATCTATTCATTCGTAATACTTGCTCAATATGTGTTCTAGCAGCTCTCGCGTGCCTGCATTCGCCATGGGGAATCCAGCTGCGGTATCCATCGCTGCTCAAAAACCTAACACCATTTCCGTGCAAGGCTTCAAGATCACTACAGAAAAGCGGCCGATACTAAAAGCTGAGCCGATTGAAGACATGACAAAAAGGCTAGGAATTGCACCGCCAGAAATGATCTTCGGTGACAACTTTGTCACAATTCAGCATGAGAAAAGCCGCTGGGAAATCAACTTCAACGCGTATGACGCCCTGGATCGCGTGGACAAAACTGGTGCATCGATGCTCAAAGTCGCTTATTCGAAAGAGTGGCAGAGAAGCAGGTACTAAGGATCCTTTGCATAAGGACCCCTTGGCGATAGGTTATTAACTAGTACGCAGAGAAAAGACACATGAGGGCATCAAGGAGGTTGTAAAGCCCTTTGACTGGTCCTACACCACAGACTATACGGGCACCGTTCAGGCTAATGGTCGGTCATTTGAACCAACGACAAGATCCATCCCCTTAGAACTATTAAAACGACCGGATCCCATACTCTTTTTTGATGAGGTCATATTATACGAAGACGAACTCGCTGATAACGGCATCACTATGCTATCCTGTAAAATTCGCGTTATGCCAGCCAGGCTACTGTTACTATCGAGATTCTTCCTACGACTCGACAATGTTCTGTTTCGGCTTAGGGATACGAGGGTATATATCGACTTCGAGAACTTGGAGGTGATCAGAGAGTTCCAGTCCAAGGAATTAGACTATGAAACAGTTCGACAGGTATTTCCTTCCCGCCAATGGAATTCTAAAATATAAAGAAGAGTGGATGGATAGAGGTTGCGCTGCATCGACCCGAGGAGGCTAATAGTTGCTTTACAGACTCTAGCGACAACGAGAGATGATGTTCCCGCCGCTATGCGTGACCCTAATAGGCTTTCGGAGATTCTTCCTCTTCGCGAAAAGCGTTTAGAACGAGTCACTCTAGGGGATTAGAAAAGGCAACTATGAGATGATAGTAAAATCCTATCCGTCCTCGACATTGCGCACTTCCACATAGGGTGCGCCGGAAAGGACATAACAAGGACCAAAGGAACTATTATCTTAGCACTCTTTGACTAGCTCGGCCATCGCTGTCTCGTTTTACAACGGCCCTTACCAGGCAGGCCCTCTGTGACAGGATACTCTGACTCTTAGCACCACATATCAATTGTCAGACTTACTTGTATCGGAGCTGGCTAATTGGATAGTACGCTAACTTTCATTGGTCTCAGCACCCTGCCGGTCCTCTTCATGAAGGCATGCGATTCAAGCTACCTCAGATTCGACAATTTCATTTACCATGTCTATGATCAGGGGATGAATAGCGTCTCTACGATAATGTGGTCCATGCGTAATTGGACTCGACCATTTATTACTACCTACATAGAGGTTCTAGTAGCCGTATCCAATCAGGAAGAGTCGTGTTATCATTATACAGCAGCAAACAATGCAAACGCAGCTTACTCATCACTTGTACAAGATGGAGATTGGCAGACTCCGCAGGGCCACCCATAAATATTTGCGACTAACGCGTGAATCGGTCACGGTTTGATGCTCGGTTTTTCTCTATTAGATATGCCTCCCAAATTCATGTACACTGCAAGGTTGCGGGATCTTTGCTATCCCCGGTGCTCAGGACGTCAAGTACATTCCCCCATCTAAGAACTGAAAGTCATCGTGCAGACAGACTAAAAATTCCCAGGTAGCCGCAATTAGATCGTCTGTCTCGTCGCAACGTACAATATGCACAACGTCTTTTGCGCGCTATCAGGGTTCCACTCCCTGCTCGGTGTTTCTCGTTCCCGCGCCCCTCGCAAACGGTCGCTATGGTCAACGTCACCCGCGAAATGTTTCTGTATTCCCCAGTCCTTGTTTACCGACTCGCCGGGCTTCTTCGCGATTATCCCGAGTGATTATGCCCCGTCCCGGGACCACTGCTGAGACATACGTGGCGTATGGAATGACACAAAAACTTTTCGAGGCCTGCTCTAGTCAAGCAGATTACAGTATACCTCAGGCATCTCAAAAGGGCGCCCAAGTCCCTAAAACTGAAGCCGGCGAAGATCTCGGAGTTGGGAAAGGATGGTGGTATGAAGGTTTGTTTCCCTAATATTGACCGACCTTGATTAGTGAAAACTAATGCCCGTGGTCATTATCAGACCTAGGCCTCATACCAACCTTCTCAACTTGGTCTCAAATTACTTTTTTGCACATGTACCTTCTAACTGTCCGCTTGCGAGTCTTACCGTCGTACGAGAGCTTTCAGACTTATTCCCGACATCTGATTGACCACTTCTCGCATAATGCTGAGCACCGCATGGACGTCCTACATGGGTTCACTAGTCGTACAATCCGGAACAAGTTTCTCAAAGACCTCTTCATCCAGTGGAGAGGTGTTCTTGCGGCCTATGATGAGGGCCTTGTTAAAGGAGACGCCGTGCTAGGTGCCGCTATCTGGAGAAATTTATGGAAAGCAAACCATACCGGACCAGATGGGAAGGAACTGGATTGGACGAAAATAGCTCTGGTCGTTGCATATATGCGGCGAGTAACTTCGGAGCTTTCTCAGGTAAGCGAGGCGGATCTCGTCTTTCAACTATGCCAGCGAACTGGCGATAAACCCAGTGTTTTCGGATACTCTGAATTCGATAAAAAACTAGTCCAAGGCAAGCGATAATTGGCTGAAGACCTCATTTGTAATAACTTTTTTCGCCCTCTTCTCTTCATCTGTTGTTTAAATTCAAATTTACCCTATCCGCAATAGTAAACTGTTGCATACCACATCTATGCATGTTACGTATAGGCAGTGAACATATGCTGATACAAGTAGATACCGCGATACTTTGACTTTTGCTAAACTGCATAAGAGAGGCAGCCACCCCCCCCCCCCCCCCCACACATAGATTGGACAAGCATAGAACCTCCTTAATTCGAAACCAAGCATAACTGTTGGGTCCACAGCCATAACAGACTCGAGCACAGACAATTAAGTAGGGGCTACTTCTCAAAGTCACCATCGAACCTACTCTTCCCTCTTTCCGAAGAGATCTTTCTCAACCATCGCGCGACAGATGGGATGATAGAAATCTTTATTCTTCTCAAAGGTGTCGATCGCAAGAGGGCGATTAACCTTTTGCAGGTTTCGGTACCTATATGACGGGGTTAGCCTAGGGAATGGCTTGTGGTAGACAAGCTATACTTACAGAGGTCGCACAAATTTCATCCTACCAATTCTACCTAATAGATCTGCCGTCGGTTTATACACGGTGTCGTCGCCGGCCTTTAACCCTACTTGGAAATAGAGATTGGCGACTTCAATGTTTTCACTCTTGGCGAGGCCGTAGACTTCACCCAGAATCCTCGACAGTTCAGGGGTAAGTGGCCGCTCGAACAGAAGAATTTGCTCCAAGAGGACCACGATTTGGTTTGCTGTCAGCCCCTCAATATCGCTTGCCTGAGGCTGAAAGGATGAGTTAGGAAGGGACTTCCATTTGCTAGATAGCTCGTAAACGACATCAACGAGGGACGTGTCGAATTGTGGCTTGGGGGGCAAGCCAGGGGCATAGAACCACGCATCCCAATCGACATTTTTCAAGAGATTGGAGACTTCCAGATCATGCTGGAAGAATTCGAGCATAGTTGCCTTAAACTCATACGAATCGAGAGACCTTCCTTTGAACTTCGTAAAATACTAGAAGCATTTTAGCAAGCTGTCGTTCTAGACAGAAATGGGAGGGGGGCGCCTACATGAGGAATGAATAGGTCAAACTTGTCCTTCCCCATCAGATTTTCTAAGTAAAATAAGAAATTGAATCCCTTTTCGTACGGAATGCTTGAGAATGCATCGTCAGGGTCCTTCCCTTTAAGATCAGTGACTAACTTAGTAAACGGATGATCATGTCCAAAATGCTCCACAGAATCTGCAAGAGACTTCCAACCAATGATGGCTGAGAAATGTCGATAAGCTTCACCATGTCTGCATGCCAAATTAGCAATTTGATCCGTAGGATGCCAACGTTAGAACTCACACGGCAGCTAGGATCTTTTACATGGTCAGTATGTGTAAAATTGTCAGTGGTATCAAGTGGATTGACAGGGCTTGAGGGACAAACAAACTGACACGTCTCTCGAGATAAGTAGTCCAGCCTTCGTTCAGCCAGAAATGTTCCCATGAGGCATTGGTGACAAGATTACCACTCCAGCTATGTGCGAGTTCGTGAGCAATAACATCGACATTTTCCCTATCCTAGGAACCTGTGTCAGGAAATCACCGACAGGTGACACCGGTATATCTCGGGAAATACCTTTGAGATAATGCTGGGGGTCGCAAAGGTGAAGATTGGGTTTTCCATGCCTCCATATGGAAAGCTAGGGGGGAGGATCAGGACATTGTACTCGCCCCAAGCATACGGATAGACGATTCTCTGTATGCAGGTCAGGCTCTGGAGATAACATCCTTATATATCAAAATCGGGCGAACCTCAATTGCATGCATGAATTTTTCAGTGTCCGCTTCAAGCTCCCACTGGCATTCCCTGAGGTTGTCGGGACTGGTTGCAACGACACTCCGGGGCCCAATTGCAGCTTCCGAGATATCACTGTTATTAACCAGTCAGTTTATAACCCAAGCAGGCATTCTGAATCTCCATACCCACTAGCCAACGCGAACAGATAACTTGGGATAGGCAGCTTTTGGTGAAACTGATACAGAGTTTTACCGCCAGATTGGGCTTTTTCTTTATTGCCTCGAACAGGCAATCCACTAGCAACTACAGGAAGAGATGAAGTGATGTTGAAGTCAATAGTAGACTTGACATCTGGTGTATCCTGGCACGGGAAAATTGACCGTGCATGGATAGCCTGGCACTGAGAAACTATATGAGGGTAGCAAGTTAGAAAAGCCTAGCAGTTCCTTAATATCCCTACCCGTTGCAGGAGAGGAGCAAAGGTTAACTTACACATATATGGATGTTTCCTATTAGAAGTTTGGGCTGGTGTCAGCCACTGAAGGGCAGTGCACTTTTCGGTCGTCTTAACCGAGATCTAAATGCCCAGGTCAGATTCAACATGTTAGACGATACGCAAACTGGTGGACGACTTACATCAACCTCGACCATCTCGTTCAATCCCACACCCTGGTCAAGCTTAATCTTCAATGCAGCTCCATACGGCTCCAGCGGGGGAAGGATCTCCCAGCGAGAAGCTTGGCCGTCGACTTTCACATTACCGACATCCACGTGGTTCGTATCCAAGATGATTTCCGTAGATTTTGCGTCGGTGATGGACTTGAACTTATGAACAACATTCCCAACAAGCTTCTTCTGTTCGAATAGAATATCGAAATTTGCGGTTATATGAGTAGAGACCCAATTATTATAGTTACTCAGGGTGTTGGGATCCCGAGGTGAGTGGATAATAGTTGCCATGCTACGTCTCGAAGCCTGGGCGATCCAGGGAATTCGTCTGGTGACTCCAAAGAACAGTATGGGATAGCAGCTGTAAACAACAGAACCTCGAGGGAACCTAGATTGCCAGAGCTGAGACAGAGAAGTACGGATCATAGAACCCTTCCCCAATTCTCTGAGTGTGTGATAATTGAAATTAATGGGCGACACCGATTTCATTTAAAGTCATAGGCCAGGGTTCTTCAGTCGGATGTAGGTGGGGAACATCTTGTATTTCCATTACATAAACATACCTCTGGTAAATCATTGTACTCCGTAGGTAATGTACATACATATATTTGTATACATGATATGATGTACGTGTTAGGGTACATACCGTCGTACTGCCTATACATAGAAGGGATACTTTTCTCAAGACGCTAAGATGAATATATACAATAACTAGGCACTGTGCTATTACCACCACCAACAGTATAGCTAACCATGATCATAGTAGTTATAACTAACCTTGCTTAGTAATCACCATACTGTGATTGTCTGTAGACGCTTAGAGTCGGTGATACTTGAAGCTTTGAGATCACGCAATGTCTGCTAAATCTCGAGATGATGGTAAGAGATTATAGCCTAAATGGCTTCCCTGTTCTCACTCCCCCTTCTTCTTCTCCTTCATCGCCTTTGAATTCACATGATCGACTGACCTGTAAAATCACTACACAGAGCTACTCATGGTATAATAAATACTGGTATGTACATACTAATACGGATTCTGTACACTAGGTAAGTATTTTTTCTTCTCTTTTACATGATGTGACATTGTCTTAACCTTGAATAATGACTGACGCGTAAATCTAGATCTTTATGTATTTTCGAGGTATCTCTCAATCATTTCCATCGCTTCAAAGTTTAATCATCAACTGAAATAGTTATTTGAAGTTCTATTAGTCAATACTTCCCAGTAATAGTTATTCTGACTGGCCTTCTCTCCTCGAATTATCATCTCCTTGAGAATTTTACCCCTTCCTTCGATACCCTCTCTTTTGACTACCTAGGTTGTCAATGGATATTCCTCAAGTGCAGATTTCCGGGTTTGATAGCTCCCATGGTCCTGGGAACGCGCAAAAAGCGGAAACGCGCGACGTAGACATGGATTCGAGCCAACACGCGAATGATGCTATAACACAAGATGTGCCCCTATCAACTGAAATAACGGAGCTCCAACCGAAAGAAGCGGCGCCTCCAAAAAGAAATCCTGGTCTTCAGTTTCTCGAGTAAGGCTACTATATTGTTACATCTGATGGCGCAACATCGTCATCCTTCCCTGTTCAAGGATCTTCAACTTATGCCGTTTAGATACTTAAAGTCGCCTATTGTGGAACTTACTATAGGAAAAGGAGAAACCAAGACCACTTTAACAGCTCACCAAAAACTACTTCTGGAATCACCCTTCCTTGCTGAGCGAGTCGCAGTATTTCATGGTTCGGGGCCTGTGGGTCAAATCAAAAGGGTTATAGAAGACCTTTTACCCTGATGCTAATATTCTATAGCGCCGCATTGAGCTTCCCGACGAAGATGTAGAGGCCTTTGGCTTTTTTCTCCAATTCCAATATACCCGCAACTATGCCAGCTCTCTCGCCGATGCCTCGAGTGACGAAGACGCAGCTGTAGGAGAAACCGATGATAGTGGTGAGCAACTACTGAAACACGCACGTGTATACACATTGGCAGAGAAACTTGGAATACCAGCACTGAAAACCTTGGCCCACTCAAAGATTCACCGTGTGAACAGCACTTCACACGGTGAGATTGCCTATGCTCGATATGTCTACACCCACACCCCAGCCGACGATGCTACGATTCGGAAACCTGTAGCATCTTTCTGGGCTCTAAGAAGCCATGTTCTACGACATGAAGCTGAAGAGGAATTCAGGAAGCTGTGCCTTGAGGTTCCCGAGTTCTGTTTTGATGTATTTAGCATGGTACTTGACCATAAAGAAAAGCGCGCTCAAGATAAAGCTGAATCCGAGTCTGCTATCAAGGGGAGTGGAAGGAAACGGCTCAGGAGTGGTCTGTAGCTGGGCCCTGCAATCATCCTCAATCAAGGGCCCGTCTAACAACCTGGTTTATAAATATTATTCACCAGGGCGGAGTTCGTATCCTTTCATTTTTCTCTTCGTTTTCTTTCAAGAAAACGCAATTATACCATGGTACTGCATATAACGTGTATTCAACTCAACACAACAACTTCACCAGTTGACTTCTAGCCAGCTAGGGTGGAGCCTGATAGCATGAAATGGAAGTATAGCTCTGGCATATAGATACTTCCAGATCAGAATGTATTCCAATATGGTTCACGGCCCACGTATGTGCCGGCACTGTATATTTCATCATCATGATGTTACCTACAAGGCCAAGCTTTCCATTTCCTCTATAGCTTTCGGCGCTGTGGTCAAATTTTCGTGGCCATCTTTAGTGATATAAATATTATCCTCGATACGAACACCTCCCACCATCCAATACCGCTCCAAAACAGTGGTATTGATGTACTTCCCTAGCTCTGGGGATTGAGAATAGGGATCGATAATGAAGCGGCAGAAGTAGATCTATAAGAACACAGAGTTTAGCACACCAGGACATAATACAATAGTTGGAAATAGGCTGCATAGACTTACACCTGGTTCAACAGTGACAACGGAACCTGCAGGCAAACGGCCTCTGACACGGAGGTATTTGAACATAGTATCCTTGTCTCCATAGTTAGGGTTGCCCCCAGTGTCATGCGTATCCATTCCAAGATAGTGGCCGAGGCCATGAGGGAAAAACGCTACGCTAATTCTCTTCTCAAATAGTTCATCCTCGGAGCCATTTAGAATCCCCAAAGCGAGCAAGCCCTTGATGGCAACACGGTGCGCATGCGCATGCACATCCTCCCATTGAACATCTCCTTTAAGCATTGAAATGCATTCTACCTGCATTTGTAGGACGATCTCATAAATCTGGCGGGTTTCTTTTGTAAATCTCCCGCCTAAGGGGAACACGCGCGTTATATCCGAGCAATATGCCCGGTACTCGCCTCCAGCGTCAATGAGAACATTGCTCTTCCTTTGCTTCGTTACAGGGTCCGTCAGGTCATCGTCATTCTTGCCATAGTGAAGGGTGGCCCCGTTTGCACCGCAAGCAACGATGGGATGATAAGATGCTCACGAGCACCATGAGCGATACACGTCGCGATAAACGCGCCTTCAATCTCACGCTCGTTTACCGCAGTCTTTGAGGCTTTTATGGCAGCAACATGTGCCTTGGCAGAGATATCATTAGCCTTTCTCAGAAGAGCGATCTCATATCCGTCTTTCACAATGCGCGCCTTTTCAATAGCTTCCTTCAGGACGGAAAGACTGGTTTCTGCAAATCCTTGAAATTCGGTTCCGCTAGAGACCTGATCTGCAATCGCGAAAGCTACGGCATTGCCACCATATGCTGAGCCAATAGAAAGAAGAGTGGCATTGATTTCAGTCGTCGCAAGCACACAGTCAACATCGTAAAGCTTCATGGCCTCATCCGCGGAGAGGGGAAGCCCTGACCAGATTACCTCTTCCGCATCAATAGGAGGTATAAACAGAGTGAGTTTGTCAGCGTTAATGTCGTAGATCAAGTACGAATCTGGAAGCGGGCAACCTGATAAGTAGTAAAAGAAACGCCGTTGCCTGGTCGCCGGATATGGTGAGTTCACTAAGCCTATGGAGCAACGGTTCGGATAGAAAGGAGTAAATTAATGTTACCTGAATGGCATCGGTTCGTCATTATCCTCTATAAGACGAGTTTTCTGAGCTTCTAAGTAAATCACTCCAGGGGCACCATGCCCATGACGAGCCTGAAGAAGCTGGGCAACCCGGCGCGCATGGGATTTAGCCGGATATTTGCCTGCTAGTATATCATCCACAGTGGCCATGATGTACACTTGCGCAAATGAACGGGAGCTGCGCTAGGACTCACAAAAATAACGGAGGTGTAGAAGAGCCTGGCTTTCAGAGAGCCTTCAAGTGAACTTAGCAACTCTGGTGGGGTTTTATCTGTTTCGCTTGCGGGGCTTACTTCGCGTGACACCGCTTATCATCGGGTAAAGGCCAAGTCATTCGGCTTGGGTTCAGCTGGCGGCAGCAACATTCATATCATAGTTAACTATCGCAACTAACTTCAGCGTAGGGAATTATCTACTCCAATGTACTGCCTTGGCTACCAGGGACATCTTCAAATTCCATTTCCCATTTATCGACCTCAGCAAATTTCTTCGCCTGCAGTCTCAGCTCTTCACTCAGGAAATCGACCGACAACGGCGACTCTGACAGTGAGGCGAACTCCAATGCATCCGAATCCAGCAGTGAAGATAATGGCGATGACATATCGGTCAGCTGGTTCTCTTCGCCGGTGACTGTGTGTATATGAGGCCTGGTGAAAGAGTTTGTTTCATGATGATTCTCACGGACTTGATTTAGGGGTTTCGTAATCCTTGCGGAGCTCTTGGGCTTATCACCCTTGTTGACCACTATTCCAGCCCTTTGTTCATTCTCCCGTCGAGCTTCGAAGTATGGTTTTAGCTTTGACTTGGCAGTTCGCCTTCTTCTGGTTGAGCAGTTCAATTCGTCATCATTCTGATCTGTAGTAGAAGTATTATCTCCACTTGAGTCACTTGGAAGTTCTAACTCAACCACGTTGCGACGTTCGCGGCGTTCACGGCACCGTTGGCGACGCCGAGGGAGGAGTCGGTCTTGTAGAGTTGCCGTGGGGATGGTAGTCGCCTCATTAGTTAGGTCTGAGTGCACCCTTGCGCCTTGTTTAATAGGATTCAATGGCCGCGCTGAGTCTGATGTGAAGGCTGGGGCAACGGGACTCGATAGGGGACTGCTGCTCAGAGGCGGTGCCATAGTCTGATTGAACGCTTCTAAAGACTCCAATGATTGGCCTAATTCCAGAGAGTCCTCGTTTCCGGTATGAGGCGACTTTCCTTTGCGAGTGTTCTCCGCTACTACTGGAGGCGACTGAGAGACCTGACATTCTTCGATAGAACGTTTCCGCTTGAATGACTCCACACTAGAAGGCAATGAAGGCTGGGATGGAGATGGGGATACGGCCTGTCTAACTAGAAGCGATTTTCCTCGGGTAAGATTCAGGGGCGTGGACTCGTCCTCGGGGCTCAAGCCACCCAAAAAGTCGTCATCGTCCAAATCAGACGATCCATCCTCTGCTTGCATCATTTGCAGAATGCTCGCTTGCCGAGGTCGCCGTCTAAAGTTACTCAATATTGAGCTCTCGAAAGCAGGCGTTCCCGGTATCCTTGAACTCATGTCAACTTTCCGTCCAGCCATGGATAGAGTAGACGAGTAGCCACGAGACCTCGTGGGTGGCCGGCTGCCTGTAGCACCTCGTTCCCCCATTGGAGAAGATTCGATCGCGTGTTCATTTTTTCTAGCCAGGGGTGTTTGATTTCTCGATTGTCGTAAAGTGTTCCCCTGTTGGGCACTGGATACCAGTTGTGAAGAAATCCCCTCGTCCTGGTTATCAGGTGCCGCCGGTGGCCTGGAAGTATTCGATGCGCTCACGTCACACTCGTTACTTGGCTCCGCCTTTCCCTTAGGTATTGCGGACGCCTTTGTTGTTGTTAGCCGATTGCGTTTTGTTGGTGGACGAGGCATGCTTGTAGGGATTTCAGTTCTTCTTTACAGACGTTCCCGTAGCTTCAATCTAGGCTTCTTTTTCCTTCACTTTACCTCCTTTTTCTTCTTTTCCTCCTCCTCTTCTTTTTTTCTTCTTCCTTGCTTTCTTATCTCTCTTCCGATATATTGAGTGGATATGCCAACCTCGAAATCGTGTAAACGGTGCACAGAAAGCGAAGTTGTAATTAGAATGGGTTGTTGTATGTAACCCCTTCAAGTCGCGCGTCATTTGTTTTTTGAGGAACAGCGCGTCCCGCACGTGCTTCCTCCACTGCCGTTATGCGCAGTATATACTCCGTACATGGTAACTGTGGGGATAGTTTTGGGTTCTAGTTCTTTTCTTTTTTCTCTTTTCTTTTCTTTCTTTCTTTTGTGTTGTCTTCGCTTACATACATCTTAAGTACTGTCATTCCCAACTTTAGATACATATCGTCCCAAGACGTATAATTTACTACAAGCCGCTACCCCTCGCTTCGTTCGGTGGATTGAGCGGTTTAAATGCTAGATAGTTAACTAGTACCTATACTTAGTACTATCCTACGTTCCGCCTTGTAATATGAAGCCGTACAATAGTTATTAACGCTATATATTTATTCATCCAATCTCCATAGGCTGTATGTTCTAAGCAATTGGGTAATTCAAGTGGTTTAAGCAATTTATAGAGGCCACTCTATGAGAAGTCCGACTAACTATTAGATCACTTTCCCTAAGGCAAAAGGGAAAAATGCATACTTTATATTCTACGCCAACGCGCTGCGATGGTCTGTATCTCTCCTGCTCGTTCCTCGCAAGAGGTCCGAGCTTGCTGAGACAAAAAATACATGTTTTAAAAAAGCTAATAGCCGGCGTAACAGCATATCCTGTATTATAACCATTATTAGCTGGAAAGCACAGTTCCCCGCTTTCCAGCCCTGATTGATCAGTCAATCTAATTAGAAAATGCCTATTCCGTAATACTTCTGGCCTGCCGACTGAACTAATTTAACCCCAGCATCCTGATAATTCAGTGCTCAGATGAACCTCTGTCCCTTGCGTTCGCCCAATGCAGTTATGAGACACTCTGCCGTTTATCTTGCATCAAATCCTGTGGGTTATGGTATTCCAGCTGCTACTTACTTCACTCGTCCCCCACACATACTGATGAAAACTCACAAACGGCAGACTTTGAAACCTGTCAAGTAGGATGTACCTGCTTTCAGAAGACCGACTGTTTCTGCTTCACATCCGATCCATGTTGTAATGTCTCAGTTTGAAGCCATGTCTCCTTCTCCCCAAAGAGACAGAGATGCTCAAGTCGATGCAGTCACCGGTGCGGCTGCTTCTGACGACTTGCAGTCGAGTAAGAAAAAGCGATCCAATTCTGATGTGGCCGAATATCCCCGAAGCGCGCCACAATAGCCGTATGCTTCTCTCCCTCCGTTGCCCTTCCTTTGCTATATCACCCTCCATTTCATTTTCACTACGTGGACATTCATTGATCATGGATAATGGCAAGCGTAATAGTGTCAGATATGCCGCCTGCGGAAAACAAAATGCAATGGGGCGCGCCCAAAGTGCCAGCTCTGTACGGATCTAGACACCGACTGCGTCTATAGAGAGCCTGGAATCAAGCTTGATGCCGGTGATAAACTGATCATTGAAAGGCTCAACCGTATCGAGGGACTCCTGCAATCAAGCATAGCAGCACATTACTCACTACCCTCAACGTCACCAGCAACCAGTAACGATACCAACATCGGTGGTGAAGATGCACCGGTTAAGACATCCAGCGTGGCTGTGATGCCCGTGAAAACGTCTGTTGCTGGACTCGCCTCTTGGGCTAACCCACCCACGAGTATCTCAACGATGCCAAAGGTACATACCACTCCTGCGTTACATCTGCTACAGTGGCCGTTGATTCGAGGATTGGTGGCTGGCCCCTATGACCCTCATACATTATTGCAACTAGAAATGGCTCGTGAGCCCCTTAAGATGAGATCCCCCAAGGAGTTGGACTTAACAAATGCAACGATATATATCAGGAATTTCTTTCGACGTGTCAATGTTTGGTACGCCTGCGTTAATCCATATACATGGTCTCGGTATTACAAAACTGCCGTGTCCATCGGCCTTCGAGAAGGACCTGAGAGCTGCCTGGTCCTTTTGGTATTGGCCCTTGGATGTGCTAGTCATCATGGGAGTATTTCCTCTGTCTCACCAGATAACGAGGCTCCAGGCCTGTCTTATTTTGCGGCAGCTTGGGACCTTCTCCCTATAGTAATGATGCGCAACTCTGTGCCTGCCGCACAGTGTATCATATTGGCATCAGCCTATTTATTCTACCTAGTCAGACCCCTAGAGGCCTGGACTCTTCTGTCAAATGCCAGTCTAAAATTACAGCTACTTTTTGGCAATCCATCTCGTGTTCCTCTTCAATGGAAGGAATTAAGTGTGCGAGTATACTGGAACGCTCTGCTCTACGAAAGCGACTTGCTAGCGGAACTAGATCTACCACATTCAGGGATCGTGCACTTTGAAGAGCTAGTTGATCTTCCTGGGGGGTTCGAGGAGGAAGATGACGAAGATGACCAAGAGGCCGAGGACGAAAATGGTGAAATTTCATCTGAAAATGAGCCTGTTGGTCGCGACGAATTATGGTACTTCCTAGCAGAAATTGCATTGAGGAGATTGCTCAACCGTGTCAGCCACATGGTTTATCAAAAGGATAGCCCATTAACTCTTGGGACGCTTGGACCTATTGTTTCCGAGCTGGACTACCAACTCTCTCAGTGGTATGAGAGTCTGCCCCAACCTGTTCAGTTTCCTCTTTCCCGTACACCTGTGTCAAACTCTGTCCAGACTGCTCTACGGCTTCGATATTTTGCATGCAGGACAATTATCTACCGACCATATATTTTGGCTGTGTTTGAAAACGAGCAGACATCTTCAGATCCAGTGGTAAAGGAATGCTGCCGGCGGTGTATAGAAGCCACAATACGCCAACTGGAGAATATAACAAGCCACCGCGAAGGCCATCTACCATATCTTTGGCAGGGAGCTTTGTCCATGGTGTCACAAACGCTGTTGATTATGGGGGCTACTATGTCTCCAACGCTTTCTGTCTTGCTGCCCCCTGCAGACCAAGTGGATGGGATGATATCAGAAGTAGTGGCAGAGGTTGAGAGATACGCTCACCTTGCCCCGAGTTTAAAACTATCAGCAGAAATCATTCGAGATGCAGAAAAACGACGGCAAATTTGTTTGAGGTCTACAGGGCAGTGAACCTAAACTATATTCATCATCTGCGTTCTCCCCCTTCCCCGGGCCCAGGAGCGGTATCTTCCTCAATGTCAACAAGAATTTACGTGCAGGTAGATATGTATTGTATCAAACAAGTATGAGAATAGCATATATACAGCTCAGTAATGGATAGATACATGGTCCAGGGCTAACCCCTATGTAACTCTAAACGATAAAAAGGCCGACCAAATTATTGTTTGGTGTAACATAGCTTTCATCGTCACTAACATTGTTCATGGAAGGAGAGAAATGCCGGTCATAGGAATCGGGGATATTATGTAAGTAAATAATCAAATCATGTAAAAATGGTTTTGTTGGAACGGCAACGCAATCAACTCTCATTTTTAGATAAGTACCCATTCGCTACCCCTCTTGATGAACTTATCAACCATCATTGCAATATCATTCAAGGCAAACCGGCAGATATAGAAGCCAAAAAATTCTGCAGCATGACGAGTACTCAACTCCAAACCAACAAGAGTTGGAGAAGAGTGCTTTAGTCCCGGGTCTTCGACCTGTTGAGCGATTTGATCTGACACCACAGAATTAGTTAGCAACGAAGGTCGACATAATGATATGCATGATTGTTGCCTACCTAACACCTGAACAGCATCACAAAGACGGGCCAACGCACTCATATAGTTCGCATTCGGTCCATTGAATTGCAGCTGCGTTGTATTGCGCTTGACAGGTTGGATATTAGGTATCGAAGACATCGGGAGAGAGTTGATAATCAGATTATCTCTGCTAGCCTCTTTTACACTAGACTGTGATGTTGTCCCGCCAAATCCAGAATTTTTGGAACGCAGTTTGCGCCAAGAAGTTAAATATGATTTGCTGGCCCCGCTGGAAGTTTTCGAAGGCAAAGTATCAACGGTCGCCGCATCGTCTGAGCTCTGAGAGGCTTTGAATAGAGCCATAGCCCCCTGAACACCAACTTCGCCGCTCAGCTTTTTCGATAGCGAAGACTGAACCTGGTCGAGAACGGTCTCAAGGGACTGCATTTCTTCCAAGATGGCATCAGCATCGTAAGTATCAACCTTAGCCAGTTTCAGCAACGCCGCCGTCAACAAGTCACAATTTGAGACTTTCTCCTCCACTGCCTTGATTTTGACATTTTTCACACGCCAGGCATCACGCGGGACAAATAGTTTGGTTGTCAAGTAGCCACCACTAGGGTGGGCTATGGTTTGATATATGCATCGCATAAGCCAAAATGGGCGCAAGAGAAATGACTCAGGGCAATGTTCTAAGGGCGCAGGCGCATTAGTTGCAGTCGCATTTGGTGATCCGAGATTGGTTGGTGAGTGGATATGGCTGTCGAACAGATACAGTCCCCCACTTGGAAGACCAGTAGGAGCAAAGGCTGCACCAGTTGGGGTGGGCAAAATTGGCCCTGCAGCAATCCCCGCCCCTTTCTGAATATCAAAAGGGGGAAACGCACTGCCGGGAGTATCTGGTGAGTCGATTAGGGCATCAGTCCCTGGCACTGACACATTCCTTGCTCGAAATGATTTCGCACCTGAGTTCAGCTTCCCTAAGTTATCTGGTGCTGACGGCACTTTGCCTATCGGCCGGGCTGGTGACGGCATTCTTGGGACCCCAAGATTGTTGTCTTCTTCCTGTGTCGTTGGCTTGTCGAGACTGGCATTCATCCAAGCATCTTCCGTGAACGACCCAATAGATGCGTTCCGTTTGTTCAAACTTACTCCCGAGCGTAAGACGGGAGTAGGACCTAGGGCTTTGCTTGTCTGCATTGGAAAACTTGTTGAAGGTTCGTCTTTTGGGAGGGGTGGGGGTGGTCGAAGGGCTGCAGGTCCCAAGGATTGACCATGACTAGATATATCCGAGTCTGCTCTCAAGCGAGGTTTTGTTTCGATCTTTAATTCTGTAGTTTTCTGACCAGACATTCTCCGAGCACGTACGCTCGGACCTGGCGTCGGGACAGGGTTTGGTTTGGGTAAAACGGCAGGAGCATTTGCCTGGGTTGAAAGAGGCTCTGTCGCCTGTTTTGCCATTGCACTTACTACAGGCAGAGCAGAGTCTTCTGGAAGTTGGGATAACGTTGCTCCGGGGGTTGCTGTGTTGGATACAGCCGAACTTTCCCAAGTCCTGCCGGGAAAGCTGCTAGAATCGGATTGTCGAGGAAGAGCTGACTTTGACTGGAGATCAAAGTTGAAATCGTCCATGATATAACCCCTGGTCATCTCTTCCAATAAACGCTCCTCCTCCTCAGCTTCCTCGTCCAGATAATCCAAGTCAACCCCATAAGAGTGGTCGATTGTAAACGGCTGCTGCAAATGTCGAACCTCTCGGCCACGGGCCATTGCCACTTGCGCTTCATGCTCAGCTTCCCTTACTTTCTGTTTCGCCAGCTCGATATTTCGACGGGCATTCGCCACAATGTCATCATTATCAATGCCACCATCATACTGTTCGTTTGGCTCAAATGCTGGCTCAAAACCCTCATCATAAGCAGCCTCAACAGCGGCATCAAGAGCAGCATCAAATTCAGCCTCTGTGCCGTGACTGAAGTGGCGGCTCCCCCCCTGTCGTAAATACACAGATGAAAGTTTAGAGCGCGTGGAAGTCGGTGAAGACGCGCCAGACTCATCGATTGTATCAAGCCAGGATGTCGACTCGAACGCATCTTTCGCATGGGTACTCAGTAAAGCCCAGTCATTATATCGAAGTTGATGCGCCGAATCATCATCTAGGCTTAGTGTCCTAGAGGCCTGCCCAGACCCAGACTGCATCGCCGTTTCTAGATGTTCACCCCTGCTTGATCTAAAGGATTCAGTCTGAGAAAAATCGTTCTGTATAGTGGCCGGTGGTGATAGGGTCAGGCAATGTAGATCATCATCTATTGCAGAAGGCAATAACGACTGGCACCTCGCTGGGACTCTGTTAGAGGCTAATACCCTTGCTTCGTCTAGCACTGGCTGATGATCGTCAGAGCTGCGCTGCAAAGAATTTCCGCTTTCGTTATGCGATTCCTCATTCTCATCCTCTTCGATGGACTGGAACATTTCACTGTAAGACTCCTGGCTGAGGGGTCGCTCTGGAAGAGCTTTGCTGTTGGGTTCTGTAAATGAGAAATCCATCCGCTGCAATTCCGTTACACGAATCATGTATGTGTCACGCTATGAAATTTAGTCCCTGTGTATAAAGAGTAGAAAGGCCAAAAAGGTAGACGAAAGAAAGGAGGGAAAGACATCGCTGAAGCAAGACTCACAATTTCCTGAAGTTTTGACTTTTCGTCCTCACCTCCGCTGCTTCTAAGCATAACATGTTGCAGTAGCTGACAGGCATCATTGTAGGCTTCCATTGCGCCTTCGAAATTTGCCGCGTTGTCAAGAAGCACAGCAGTGTTGGCTTTCTGTAAAGCTTTAGACAGCATTGCCTTTTGGGAATGGCCTCGTCGCCGCTTCCCATGAGTATGTTCGCTACCAGTAAACATTTGGGAACTCCGGTTGGCTGCTTGTGCATCAGTACCAGATCTCGACCATGGATTTTGAAAAAGGCTAGTAGCAATCGACGTGGAGCCGTGATCCTGATGCGATGGAGCAGAATCTATAGCATCTGTCGAGAAGGCCGATATATCACTGTGATCTCCAAGTTCGAGGACTCGCATGTAGTGGCCCGCGCCGATCGAGTGCGAAGACTGGGGCCCTTGCAATGGACTTTCATCGTTCGTAGGTGCGGCAACACGAGGAGGTAGGTGTGGGATAGTGCTCCTCTCCGCACTTGCGCCGCCTTTGGGAGAGGTGTAATCATCGTAGGCAGATGCTTTAGGAGGGATCGTTCGATGGTAGCTATCATACATGGGCGAGCCCTTGCTAGATGACGTTGACTGAGACCAGCGATTCAAACTGCCAAGGCCTTCTTGGATATGGTCACCTGGGCTAGTTGAAGGGGAGCCCGGAACCAGCTCTGAGACAAGCTCGGGCCTTGTCGGTGTTGCCGCTCCAAGTCTAGAAGTAAGGTCGGTAGTATCAGGGCCTTTGGTTTTAAACCTATTCCAAGAATTGGCTCGGGATAAATGTGGAGCTGCTGTGTCTGCGGTGAACGTGTATCCTGGCGACATGGGTCTCGACTGACGTCCATGTCCTTCCGAAGCCGAATTATGGGCCATGCTTACAAGGACCAGGCGGCCAATGCCGTGTCAACAATACGACAGCAGAAACGGTCAGATTCCACAGAGGAAAGTGGGATGATATATGAACTGATAGAGGTTGAGTGAGGGGGTGTTTTTTAAAATAACACGACGTGCGGTGTATTGCGTTTTCGATTCGCCGTCGTGGGTTTCGCTCTTGGTTGTTATTTTATGATAGCCACTTTGAGATGGATAGGTCTATGATAATGATCAAAGCGAAACAGACGGATCTTCCTGGATCCAAGAGGTCTGCAGTTTATAGAATTGGAGTGCGCCGCGGATATGGGGGACGTTGCAAATATGTGTATGTGTGGCTGGCGTATTGCTCATCCTCTTCGAACTCTAGAAGCTGATATATGAGGGCGACTCGGTAGCCTTGAAAAATTCCGCATGTAATAAGTGTATACCGACTCCTCTAGCTCCCCTATTAGTATATACTTGCTTCAACGCATGGCCGGTTACTCTGGCGCAATTGTTTCGTAAAGGGCATAATTATCTCCTAAATCGTCATTGGTCGCTATACATCGTAATCGAAGTTCCGCTGCGCAATCTTTTTCGAGAAAACCAAGACTGATCACTATTTCAGATAAACAGCTATGAGGGCTCCGGGAGCTGCCCCGTCGAATTGCCGTCAATGTGGCTTTCCCGTGTAGATGGAAGCGAGGATGTGGTAACGCGAGTCAATCGCTAAGAGTTTATTAGTGGAGCGGACCTTGAGAATCCAACTACTGGGAAACGGTAAGTTAAACAAATAATGGTTATGAGAGGACTAATGACAGTATCTCATTGGCATCTTTACATTGAGGAGTGGTCCGTGGGCAGGGTA